AACAACCACGGGGCGTTGAACTTGATGGCCCTGATGCTGCAGTCAACGGATTATGGCGGCGCATACCCGAACATGGTCTGTTTGTGGCAGGCGGTGGCAGTGCTCCTGTTGAGCACTGTTGAGTGCGAGCGCAGTTTCAGTCGACAAAACCACATCAAGAGCAGTACGCGGACCAATTTATCACGTGCACGATTGGGAGATTTGATGACGTGTGCGCTTCTCCCATCTGCAGATGTGAACTGGACGAAAGTTGCGGCACTCTTTCATACTCTCAAGAAGCGCCGCCCAGCTGGAGATTTTGTTAATGATATTATGTAGGCATGCATAGGTAGTTGTAGGGTTAGGTTACGTACGTAGCTACAGTATAACATCCTAGGAATGTTGTTTAGTACCTTGTAGTTTTAGAAGAGAAAAACTGATTCTTACCATCACACTGATAAGGAAAAGTAAACTAGCCCCCAACCCTTACCAGAAAAAGTGCATTCTGTGGCACACACTGACAGAAAAAGTAGTTGAGAGATAGTGGCCTTACATGGAAGAGCACCCAAAATCCTATCCAGAGCCCTGTAGAGTACTCCACTGCAGACTAGAGAAATATAATATACTGACACACCCCCATAGTCAAAGTGGGGTATAATCAGCACAACAAGCTGTCATAAAGCAAGCTCACAAGCACAAGCAAAGCTAGAGGCAGTCACAGAGGGCAAGTGAGGAGGAGGGGGGACTGTGCAAGGAGTGGAGATAGGAGGCGACGGGTGAAGCCGCAGACAAACGGGCAACAGGAACGCGCACACGGTGGCTAGCGGAGCAAGGGCCCTGGACTACAGGAGTAACTGGCTCCGCGGCTAAGACAAGCGGCAGGAACAACGGACCCACGGGTAACTGGCGCAGCAGGCTCGTTGGGCTACCGGAGCTCGTTGGCTCCGGACTACTGGCGCTGTGTGCGACACAACGGCTACCTCCGCTCAACCTCCCCCACTGTCGCAGACCGCTTTCACACACCCCCTGCTGCACCCCTAGCTCCACTCTCACGACACTCCCTTAGCGCCACTCCCTCGGCTCCCACACACCCAACCCCCTCAGCGGCAGCTGCAGCAGTGGGAGATGGAGGAGGAGGAGGAGCAGGGGAGGGCGCACACACCCGCCACCCCCATACCCGCCACCCCATACCCCAAACGCAAGTGGCGCGCGGGTAGCTAGGGCGCTGCGACGGGCGACGGGCAGGGCGGCGAGCAGGCCCCTAGGGCGCCGCGACGGGCGACGGGAGGGGGGGAGGGGTGTTAGATTATAGCATCAGTTGGGTTGTAAATGTGCAAGTGTAACACCCAAACATGGGTGTACACTTTGGGCCAAGGCGCCCCAACCAGTTTTGGTTGGGCGCGTCCCAACCCCACTTTGCCACAATTGGCGGGGGGAACCAGGCCCCCAAATAATTGGCAGCCACCTCCAAAACATTATTGGTGCTACTCCCATTGGCTAACGAATAATGTTGCGGGTACCCAACCTAGGTCTCCCACTTCTCATCTCTTATATGTACCAACCAACTTTCTAATCAAACCAACTCTTGAGTTCACCTATCATCCCAACTATGGGATTCTCACATGGTATCGAGCTGTTTTGGCTAACGCCCCTAGCTCCACTCTCACGATAACCCCTTAACGCCACTCCCTCGGTTCCCACACACCCACCCCCCTCAGCGGCAGCTGCAGCAGTGGGAGACGGAGGAGGAGGAGGAGCAGGGGAGGGCGCATACACCCGCCACCCCCATACCCGCCACCCCATACCCCAAACGCAGGCGGCGCGCGGGTCCTTGGGGCGCTGCGACGGGCGACGGGCAGGGCGGCGAGCAGGCCTCTAGGGCGCCGCGACGGGCGACGGGAGGGGGGAGAGGGGTGTAAGATTATTGAGAAGAAACGAGAATGAATGAACTATGAAACAAGTGGGTACAAGTACTAACCCTAATTGGGTTGTACCCCCTATAGGATACCCCACTACAGCCTACACAATATGTATAAGCTACAATGTTCTGACACACCCCCATAGGCAAAGTGGGGGAGAACAAGGGGTCACAAGACCAGTCAAGCAAAGCAAAGTAAAGCAAGCTCAGGGTGGATCACAAAGTCACCACACATTCCGAGCACAAGTTCAAGGCCACAAGGCCAGTTCACATGCAGGAGTACACATATATATAAGGCTAGACAAGCAAGAGCAGGTATATATATATGTAACAGTACAAGCAAGGTCAAGAGGTGAGCAAGTGAGGCAAGACAGGCACAAGACCCAGCTGAGTGCAGAAGCGCTGATGATCACAAGGCGCAAGTGCCTTGGTGAAGACATCAGCAGTGTTGGCCTCAGAGGCCACGTACCCAAGCCGCAACTGACCACGCTGCTGTAGCTCACGAGCAAGGAAGTAGCGGAGAGCAATGTGCTTTGTTCTGTGCTCCAGTCTCTGCTCTCGACACAAGGCCAGCATGGCCTTGTTGTCTACGTATAGAACTGGAGGAGAACGAGGCGGCTCTCCGAGGTCAGTCAGCAGGTAGGTGAGCCAGCGAAGCTCCTGTGCAGCCATGGACCCTGCGTAGATCTCAGCCTCACAATTGGAGCCGAGAACAGAAGACGAGCGAGTAGCCCGCCACGAAACAGAGCCGGAACCAAGGCTAAAGGTGTAACCCAGTGACGACCGCTGCGTAGCCTGGTCGTCAGCCCAAGAAGCGTCTGCGTGCCCAGTGAGGACCACTGGACTTCGTCCTCCAAGCACTAGCCCCATGCCCGATGTACTACACAAGTAGCGCAACACCCTCTTCGCTGCAGCCATGTGCTCCGGTCTGTGTCTCCCAGGAGCAACATAGCGTGCGAGAATGCTAAGAGGGTATGCAAGGTCAGGTCGTGTGCAGGTCATCAGGTACATGAGGCAGCCAACAAGCTCTGGGTACGGGCCACTCGACTCTACGGACTCATCCGAAGGCAGAGCTGAGAGCGAGTGGCGAGTAGGCAGAGGAGTGGCCTGAGGCGAGGAGTACGTGAAGCCGAAGCGCTGAAGGACCTGCTGCACCATGTGTGACTGAGTCAGGGTAATGGTGCGGCGTGCTCTGTCCCGGGTGATCTGCAAGCCAAGGTAGCTGCGCAGTTCACCCAGGTCTGTGCACGTGTGTCTCTTCTGCAGCTCGGACTTCACGTAGGCAAGTCCAGCAGTGTCAGCTGTGGCAAAGACCAAGTCGTCGACGTACACGAGGATGTAGAACGGCGGCAGAGAGGTGTCGGTGCGCAGAAACAGCGACGGGTCGGCATTAGAAGGAGCAAACCCAAGAGCCGCAAGAGTAGTCCTCAGTGTGTCGTGCCACTCACGCGGTGCCTGGCGGAGACCGTAGACTGGCCGCCGGAGGCTCCACTGGGTGCCAGGAGGAAAAGACCCTGTGAAGCCAGGTGGGCGGCGCAGCCAGATAGCCTCGTGCAGGCTACCCTGCAAGAAAGCAGTGCTGAAGTCAAGAGAGTGGAGCTCGTAGTCACGGTGAGCAGCTACGTGGAGCAGTACCCAAAGAGTGGTCATCTTCGGTGTGGGAGAGAAGGTATGAAAGTAGTCGACTCCTTGCCGCTGACTAAAGCCACGAGCCACGTAACGCGCCTTGAAGACAGGCGGAGAACCCGGCGGCCGCTTCACCCTATAGATCCACATGCCACTGACGATGTTCGCCCCAGGCGGGGGAACCTCGTCAACGTAGGTGCCTGTGGACTCCCAGGAAGCCATTTCTGTGTCCATAGCTACCTGCCACTGAGAAGAGTAGTGACCCTCTATCGCCTCCGCGTAAGAGCGCGGAGTCGGGATGTCAAGTGCATCCGGGTCTCCCTCAGGGGTAAGCAGTACGGACACGAGATGAGGTGAAGTAGCTGCCAGACACTGGAACTCCTCCTGCCTGTCCTCAAGGACGTTCGTGCCAAGGGCACACTCACCCCCGACGGACGGAGGACAGACATACTCAGACTCAGCGACAAGACTAGCAGCGTAGTCTAGGCAACAGCGAGCAGCAAAGTCGACGAGCTCAGCAACTAGGGCAGACGCAGCAGTGGACTCGAAGGAAGGGTCAGTGACGATAGTAGCAAGGAGACGCGTGACAGTAGGATGGGCAGCACGAAGAGAGTCCGACTCCTGGTCGGGAAGAGCAGGAATAGAGGACTCAGGAGGAGAAGGCAAAGGGGCACGCAGAGGAGCAGTGGACGGACGCAAAGACATTCGGTGCGTGCCAGGGACAGGAGGAGGACGCGGACGCGAACCACGACCACTAGTGCGAGCAGGACGGACAGGCGACGCAGGGCGAGACGCAGACTCACGACGCTCAACAAGACCTCCAGTAGGACCAGTGTAGGGAGAAGGAGCAGGCAAGGGGGAGGCCGGCTGTAACTGTAACTGTGACTGGACAGGCTGTGGATCCTCTAAGGGAGGAGGAGGACCATTAGAAGGCGGAAGACCAAGAACCTGCCGAAGGAGCGTAACGAAGTACTGTCGCGGCCGCGGCGAAGCCGCTGAGAGGGCGGCGACGAGGCCGCAGGTGGAGGGCGGCGACGGGCCGCTGAGGGCGGTACGACGGGGCCGCGAAAGAGGCGGCGCGACGGGGCCGCGAAAGGGCGGCGCGACGCGGCCGCGAAGGGCGGCGCGACGGGCCGTAAGGGCGGCGCTAGGAGGCCGTGAGAGGCCTAGCGAGGGCGCGACGGTAGGGAGGGCACACTGAGCGCGATTCGGGCCTGAGCGGAGCGCGCTCTGGGCAGGAAAAAAAATTTCGTAGTGGTGGGCCTTAGGAATCGTTCCCGCTAGGGAACCTGCTCGATACCATGAGAAGAAACGAGAATGAATGAACTATGAAACAAGTGGGTACAAGTACTAACCCTAATTAGGTTGTACCCCCTATAGGATACCCCACTACAGCCTACACAATATGTATAAGCTACAATGTTCTGACAATTATAGCATCAGTTGGGTTGTAAATGTGCAAGTGTAACACCCAAACATGGGTGTACACTTTGGGCCAAGGCGCCCCAACCAGTTTTGGTTGGGCGCGTCCCAACCCCACTCTGCCACAATTGGTGGGGGGAACCAGGCCCCCCAATAATTGGCAGCCACCTCCAAAACATTATTGGTGGCTACTCCCATTGGCTAACCAATAATGTTGTGGGTACCCAACCTAGGTCTCCCACTTCTCATCTCTTATATGTACCCAACATCTTTCTAATCAAACCAACTCTTGAGTTCACCTATCATCCCAACTATGGGATTCTCACATGGTATCGAGCTGTTTTGGCTAACGCCAACTTCCCCCTCCCTAGGAACCTCCAGCCATCATGCTGTCCTAGGAGATCCTCGGCCCCATGCCACCTTCATGGTCTTTGCCCTACCAGCCTGCTCCCCTCCCTCAGGCTTTCACCCGTGGCATTTGAGGCGCTTGTACGCGCCGACCATCGCGACGAACGCGCCGACCAGCGAGACGTCCGCCCCGACCAGCGCGACGAACGCGCCGACCAGCGGGACGTCCGCGCCGACCAGCGCGACGAACGCGCCGACCAGCGCGACGAACGCGCCGACCAGCGGGACGTCCGCGCCGACCAGCGCGACGAACGCGCCGACTAGCGGGACGTCCGCGCCGACCAGCGCGACGACCACGCCGACCAGCGGGACGTCCGCGCCGACCAGCACGACGAACGCGCCGACCAGCGGGACGTCCGCGCCGACCAGCGCGACGAACGCGCCGACCAGCGTGACGAACGCGCCGACCAGCGGGACATCCGCGCCGACCTGCGCGACGAACACGCCGACTAGCGCGACGCCCGCGCCGACCACCGCGACGAACGCGCCAACCAGCGGGTTGTCCGCGCCGACCAGCGCGACGAACGCGTCGACCAGCAGGACGTCCGCGCCGACCAGCGCGACGACCGCGCCGACCAACCGCGCCGACCAGCGGGACGAACGCGCCGCCCGTCAATCCCGCTCCCGAGGACATTCCGCCCATCAATCCGGCCCCCGAGGGCCTTTCGCCCATCAATCCGGCTCCCGAGGGCATTCCGCCCGTCAATCCGGCTCCCGAGGGCATTCCGACCGTCAATCCCGCTCCCGAGGGCATTCCGCCCGTCAATCCCGCTCCCGAGGGCATTCCGCCTGTCAATCCCGCTCCCGAGGGCATTCCGCCCATTAATCCCGCTCCCGAGGGCATTCCGCCCGTTACTCCCGCTCTCGAGGGCATTTTGCTCGTCAATCCCGCTCCCATATTTATTCTCCACGCTTCTGCCCACCTTCTCCCTCTCCTCCTCCACCTTAGGGCCATCCAGCCCACCTCACCCTTCCCCCTCGCGTCCTCCTCCTAAGGGCCATCCAGCCCTCCTCAACCTTCCCCCTCGCGTCCTCCTCCCAAGGGCCATCCGGCCCTCCTCAACCTTCCCCCTCGCGTCCTCCTCCCAAGGGCCATCCGGCCCTCCTCAACCTTCCCCCCTCGCGTCCTCCTCCCAAGGGCCATCCGGCCCTCCTCAACCTTCCCCCCTCGCGTCCTCCTCCCAAGGGCCATCCGGCCCTCCTCAACCTTCCCCCCTCGCGTCCTCCTCCCAAGGGCCATCCGGCCCTCCTCAACCTTCCCCCCTCGCGTCCTCCTCCCAAGGGCCATCCGGCCCTCCTCAACCTTCCCCCCTCGCGTCCTCCTCCCAAGGGCCATCCGGCCCTCCTCAACCTTCCCCCCTCGCGTCCTCCTCCCAAGGGCCATCCGGCCCTCCTCAACCTTCCCCCCTCGCGTCCTCCTCCCAAGGGCCATCCGGCCCTCCTCAACCTTCCCCCCTCGCGTCCTCCTCCCAAGGGCCATCCGGCCCTCCTCAACCTTCCCCCCTCGCGTCCTCCTCCCAAGGGCCATCCGGCCCTCCTCAACCTTCCCCCCTCGCGTCCTCCTCCCAAGGGCCATCCGGCCCTCCTCAACCTTCCCCCCTCGCGTCCTCCTCCCAAGGGCCATCCGGCCCTCCTCAACCTTCCCCCCTCGCGTCCTCCTCCCAAGGGCCATCCGGCCCTCCTCAACCTTCCCCCCTCGCGTCCTCCTCCCAAGGGCCATCCGGCCCTCCTCAACCTTCCCCCCTCGCGTCCTCCTCCCAAGGGCCATCCGGCCCTCCTCAACCTTCCCCCCTCGCGTCCTCCTCCCAAGGGCCATCCGGCCCTCCTCAACCTTCCCCCCTCGCGTCCTCCTCCCAAGGGCCATCCGGCCCTCCTCAACCTTCCCCCCTCGCGTCCTCCTCCCAAGGGCCATCCGGCCCTCCTCAACCTTCCCCCCTCGCGTCCTCCTCCCAAGGGCCATCCGGCCCTCCTCAACCTTCCCCCCTCGCGTCCTCCTCCCAAGGGCCATCCGGCCCTCCTCAACCTTCCCCCCTCGCGTCCTCCTCCCAAGGGCCATCCGGCCCTCCTCAACCTTCCCCCCTCGCGTCCTCCTCCCAAGGGCCATCCGGCCCTCCTCAACCTTCCCCCCTCGCGTCCTCCTCCCAAGGGCCATCCGGCCCTCCTCAACCTTCCCCCCTCGCGTCCTCCTCCCAAGGGCCATCCGGCCCTCCTCAACCTTCCCCCCTCGCGTCCTCCTCCCAAGGGCCATCCGGCCCTCCTCAACCTTCCCCCCTCGCGTCCTCCTCCCAAGGGCCATCCGGCCCTCCTCAACCTTCCCCCCTCGCGTCCTCCTCCCAAGGGCCATCCGGCCCTCCTCAACCTTCCCCCCTCGCGTCCTCCTCCCAAGGGCCATCCGGCCCTCCTCAACCTTCCCCCCTCGCGTCCTCCTCCCAAGGGCCATCCGGCCCTCCTCAACCTTCCCCCCTCGCGTCCTCCTCCCAAGGGCCATCCGGCCCTCCTCAACCTTCCCCCCTCGCGTCCTCCTCCCAAGGGCCATCCGGCCCTCCTCAACCTTCCCCCCTCGCGTCCTCCTCCCAAGGGCCATCCGGCCCTCCTCAACCTTCCCCCCTCGCGTCCTCCTCCCAAGGGCCATCCGGCCCTCCTCAACCTTCCCCCCTCGCGTCCTCCTCCCAAGGGCCATCCGGCCCTCCTCAACCTTCCCCCCTCGCGTCCTCCTCCCAAGGGCCATCCGGCCCTCCTCAACCTTCCCCCCTCGCGTCCTCCTCCCAAGGGCCATCCGGCCCTCCTCAACCTTCCCCCCTCGCGTCCTCCTCCCAAGGGCCATCCGGCCCTCCTCAACCTTCCCCCCTCGCGTCCTCCTCCCAAGGGCCATCCGGCCCTCCTCAACCTTCCCCCCTCGCGTCCTCCTCCCAAGGGCCATCCGGCCCTCCTCAACCTTCCCCCCTCGCGTCCTCCTCCCAAGGGCCATCCGGCCCTCCTCAACCTTCCCCCCTCGCGTCCTCCTCCCAAGGGCCATCCGGCCCTCCTCAACCTTCCCCCCTCGCGTCCTCCTCCCAAGGGCCATCCGGCCCTCCTCAACCTTCCCCCCTCGCGTCCTCCTCCCAAGGGCCATCCGGCCCTCCTCAACCTTCCCCCCTCGCGTCCTCCTCCCAAGGGCCATCCGGCCCTCCTCAACCTTCCCCCCTCGCGTCCTCCTCCCAAGGGCCATCCGGCCCTCCTCAACCTTCCCCCCTCGCGTCCTCCTCCCAAGGGCCATCCGGCCCTCCTCAACCTTCCCCCCTCGCGTCCTCCTCCCAAGGGCCATCCGGCCCTCCTCAACCTTCCCCCCTCGCGTCCTCCTCCCAAGGGCCATCCGGCCCTCCTCAACCTTCCCCCCTCGCGTCCTCCTCCCAAGGGCCATCCGGCCCTCCTCAACCTTCCCCCCTCGCGTCCTCCTCCCAAGGGCCATCCGGCCCTCCTCAACCTTCCCCCCTCGCGTCCTCCTCCCAAGGGCCATCCGGCCCTCCTCAACCTTCCCCCCTCGCGTCCTCCTCCCAAGGGCCATCCGGCCCTCCTCAACCTTCCCCCCTCGCGTCCTCCTCCCAAGGGCCATCCGGCCCTCCTCAACCTTCCCCCCTCGCGTCCTCCTCCCAAGGGCCATCCGGCCCTCCTCAACCTTCCCCCCTCGCGTCCTCCTCCCAAGGGCCATCCGGCCCTCCTCAACCTTCCCCCCTCGCGTCCTCCTCCCAAGGGCCATCCGGCCCTCCTCAACCTTCCCCCCTCGCGTCCTCCTCCCAAGGGCCATCCGGCCCTCCTCAACCTTCCCCCCTCGCGTCCTCCTCCCAAGGGCCATCCGGCCCTCCTCAACCTTCCCCCCTCGCGTCCTCCTCCCAAGGGCCATCCGGCCCTCCTCAACCTTCCCCCCTCGCGTCCTCCTCCCAAGGGCCATCCGGCCCTCCTCAACCTTCCCCCCTCGCGTCCTCCTCCCAAGGGCCATCCGGCCCTCCTCAACCTTCCCCCCTCGCGTCCTCCTCCCAAGGGCCATCCGGCCCTCCTCAACCTTCCCCCCTCGCGTCCTCCTCCCAAGGGCCATCCGGCCCTCCTCAACCTTCCCCCCTCGCGTCCTCCTCCCAAGGGCCATCCGGCCCTCCTCAACCTTCCCCCCTCGCGTCCTCCTCCCAAGGGCCATCCGGCCCTCCTCAACCTTCCCCCCTCGCGTCCTCCTCCCAAGGGCCATCCGGCCCTCCTCAACCTTCCCCCCTCGCGTCCTCCTCCCAAGGGCCATCCGGCCCTCCTCAACCTTCCCCCCTCGCGTCCTCCTCCCAAGGGCCATCCGGCCCTCCTCAACCTTCCCCCCTCGCGTCCTCCTCCCAAGGGCCATCCGGCCCTCCTCAACCTTCCCCCCTCGCGTCCTCCTCCCAAGGGCCATCCGGCCCTCCTCAACCTTCCCCCCTCGCGTCCTCCTCCCAAGGGCCATCCGGCCCTCCTCAACCTTCCCCCCTCGCGTCCTCCTCCCAAGGGCCATCCGGCCCTCCTCAACCTTCCCCCCTCGCGTCCTCCTCCCAAGGGCCATCCGGCCCTCCTCAACCTTCCCCCCTCGCGTCCTCCTCCCAAGGGCCATCCGGCCCTCCTCAACCTTCCCCCCTCGCGTCCTCCTCCCAAGGGCCATCCGGCCCTCCTCAACCTTCCCCCCTCGCGTCCTCCTCCCAAGGGCCATCCGGCCCTCCTCAACCTTCCCCCCTCGCGTCCTCCTCCCAAGGGCCATCCGGCCCTCCTCAACCTTCCCCCCTCGCGTCCTCCTCCCAAGGGCCATCCGGCCCTCCTCAACCTTCCCCCCTCGCGTCCTCCTCCCAAGGGCCATCCGGCCCTCCTCAACCTTCCCCCCTCGCGTCCTCCTCCCAAGGGCCATCCGGCCCTCCTCAACCTTCCCCCCTCGCGTCCTCCTCCCAAGGGCCATCCGGCCCTCCTCAACCTTCCCCCCTCGCGTCCTCCTCCCAAGGGCCATCCGGCCCTCCTCAACCTTCCCCCCTCGCGTCCTCCTCCCAAGGGCCATCCGGCCCTCCTCAACCTTCCCCCCTCGCGTCCTCCTCCCAAGGGCCATCCGGCCCTCCTCAACCTTCCCCCCTCGCGTCCTCCTCCCAAGGGCCATCCGGCCCTCCTCAACCTTCCCCCCTCGCGTCCTCCTCCCAAGGGCCATCCGGCCCTCCTCAACCTTCCCCCCTCGCGTCCTCCTCCCAAGGGCCATCCGGCCCTCCTCAACCTTCCCCCCTCGCGTCCTCCTCCCAAGGGCCATCCGGCCCTCCTCAACCTTCCCCCCTCGCGTCCTCCTCCCAAGGGCCATCCGGCCCTCCTCAACCTTCCCCCCTCGCGTCCTCCTCCCAAGGGCCATCCGGCCCTCCTCAACCTTCCCCCCTCGCGTCCTCCTCCCAAGGGCCATCCGGCCCTCCTCAACCTTCCCCCCTCGCGTCCTCCTCCCAAGGGCCATCCGGCCCTCCTCAACCTTCCCCCCTCGCGTCCTCCTCCCAAGGGCCATCCGGCCCTCCTCAACCTTCCCCCCTCGCGTCCTCCTCCCAAGGGCCATCCGGCCCTCCTCAACCTTCCCCCCTCGCGTCCTCCTCCCAAGGGCCATCCGGCCCTCCTCAACCTTCCCCCCTCGCGTCCTCCTCCCAAGGGCCATCCGGCCCTCCTCAACCTTCCCCCCTCGCGTCCTCCTCCCAAGGGCCATCCGGCCCTCCTCAACCTTCCCCCCTCGCGTCCTCCTCCCAAGGGCCATCCGGCCCTCCTCAACCTTCCCCCCTCGCGTCCTCCTCCCAAGGGCCATCCGGCCCTCCTCAACCTTCCCCCCTCGCGTCCTCCTCCCAAGGGCCATCCGGCCCTCCTCAACCTTCCCCCCTCGCGTCCTCCTCCCAAGGGCCATCCGGCCCTCCTCAACCTTCCCCCCTCGCGTCCTCCTCCCAAGGGCCATCCGGCCCTCCTCAACCTTCCCCCCTCGCGTCCTCCTCCCAAGGGCCATCCGGCCCTCCTCAACCTTCCCCCCTCGCGTCCTCCTCCCAAGGGCCATCCGGCCCTCCTCAACCTTCCCCCCTCGCGTCCTCCTCCCAAGGGCCATCCGGCCCTCCTCAACCTTCCCCCCTCGCGTCCTCCTCCCAAGGGCCATCCGGCCCTCCTCAACCTTCCCCCCTCGCGTCCTCCTCCCAAGGGCCATCCGGCCCTCCTCAACCTTCCCCCCTCGCGTCCTCCTCCCAAGGGCCATCCGGCCCTCCTCAACCTTCCCCCCTCGCGTCCTCCTCCCAAGGGCCATCCGGCCCTCCTCAACCTTCCCCCCTCGCGTCCTCCTCCCAAGGGCCATCCGGCCCTCCTCAACCTTCCCCCCTCGCGTCCTCCTCCCAAGGGCCATCCGGCCCTCCTCAACCTTCCCCCCTCGCGTCCTCCTCCCAAGGGCCATCCGGCCCTCCTCAACCTTCCCCCCTCGCGTCCTCCTCCCAAGGGCCATCCGGCCCTCCTCAACCTTCCCCCCTCGCGTCCTCCTCCCAAGGGCCATCCGGCCCTCCTCAACCTTCCCCCCTCGCGTCCTCCTCCCAAGGGCCATCCGGCCCTCCTCAACCTTCCCCCCTCGCGTCCTCCTCCCAAGGGCCATCCGGCCCTCCTCAACCTTCCCCCCTCGCGTCCTCCTCCCAAGGGCCATCCGGCCCTCCTCAACCTTCCCCCCTCGCGTCCTCCTCCCAAGGGCCATCCGGCCCTCCTCAACCTTCCCCCCTCGCGTCCTCCTCCCAAGGGCCATCCGGCCCTCCTCAACCTTCCCCCCTCGCGTCCTCCTCCCAAGGGCCATCCGGCCCTCCTCAACCTTCCCCCCTCGCGTCCTCCTCCCAAGGGCCATCCGGCCCTCCTCAACCTTCCCCCCTCGCGTCCTCCTCCCAAGGGCCATCCGGCCCTCCTCAACCTTCCCCCCTCGCGTCCTCCTCCCAAGGGCCATCCGGCCCTCCTCAACCTTCCCCCCTCGCGTCCTCCTCCCAAGGGCCATCCGGCCCTCCTCAACCTTCCCCCCTCGCGTCCTCCTCCCAAGGGCCATCCGGCCCTCCTCAACCTTCCCCCCTCGCGTCCTCCTCCCAAGGGCCATCCGGCCCTCCTCAACCTTCCCCCCTCGCGTCCTCCTCCCAAGGGCCATCCGGCCCTCCTCAACCTTCCCCCCTCGCGTCCTCCTCCCAAGGGCCATCCGGCCCTCCTCAACCTTCCCCCCTCGCGTCCTCCTCCCAAGGGCCATCCGGCCCTCCTCAACCTTCCCCCCTCGCGTCCTCCTCCCAAGGGCCATCCGGCCCTCCTCAACCTTCCCCCCTCGCGTCCTCCTCCCAAGGGCCATCCGGCCCTCCTCAACCTTCCCCCCTCGCGTCCTCCTCCCAAGGGCCATCCGGCCCTCCTCAACCTTCCCCCCTCGCGTCCTCCTCCCAAGGGCCATCCGGCCCTCCTCAACCTTCCCCCCTCGCGTCCTCCTCCCAAGGGCCATCCGGCCCTCCTCAACCTTCCCCCCTCGCGTCCTCCTCCCAAGGGCCATCCGGCCCTCCTCAACCTTCCCCCCTCGCGTCCTCCTCCCAAGGGCCATCCGGCCCTCCTCAACCTTCCCCCCTCGCGTCCTCCTCCCAAGGGCCATCCGGCCCTCCTCAACCTTCCCCCCTCGCGTCCTCCTCCCAAGGGCCATCCGGCCCTCCTCAACCTTCCCCCCTCGCGTCCTCCTCCCAAGGGCCATCCGGCCCTCCTCAACCTTCCCCCCTCGCGTCCTCCTCCCAAGGGCCATCCGGCCCTCCTCAACCTTCCCCCCTCGCGTCCTCCTCCCAAGGGCCATCCGGCCCTCCTCAACCTTCCCCCCTCGCGTCCTCCTCCCAAGGGCCATCCGGCCCTCCTCAACCTTCCCCCCTCGCGTCCTCCTCCCAAGGGCCATCCGGCCCTCCTCAACCTTCCCCCCTCGCGTCCTCCTCCCAAGGGCCATCCGGCCCTCCTCAACCTTCCCCCCTCGCGTCCTCCTCCCAAGGGCCATCCGGCCCTCCTCAACCTTCCCCCCTCGCGTCCTCCTCCCAAGGGCCATCCGGCCCTCCTCAACCTTCCCCCCTCGCGTCCTCCTCCCAAGGGCCATCCGGCCCTCCTCAACCTTCCCCCCTCGCGTCCTCCTCCCAAGGGCCATCCGGCCCTCCTCAACCTTCCCCCCTCGCGTCCTCCTCCCAAGGGCCATCCGGCCCTCCTCAACCTTCCCCCCTCGCGTCCTCCTCCCAAGGGCCATCCGGCCCTCCTCAACCTTCCCCCCTCGCGTCCTCCTCCCAAGGGCCATCCGGCCCTCCTCAACCTTCCCCCCTCGCGTCCTCCTCCCAAGGGCCATCCGGCCCTCCTCAACCTTCCCCCCTCGCGTCCTCCTCCCAAGGGCCATCCGGCCCTCCTCAACCTTCCCCCCTCGCGTCCTCCTCCCAAGGGCCATCCGGCCCTCCTCAACCTTCCCCCCTCGCGTCCTCCTCCCAAGGGCCATCCGGCCCTCCTCAACCTTCCCCCCTCGCGTCCTCCTCCCAAGGGCCATCCGGCCCTCCTCAACCTTCCCCCCTCGCGTCCTCCTCCCAAGGGCCATCCGGCCCTCCTCAACCTTCCCCCCTCGCGTCCTCCTCCCAAGGGCCATCCGGCCCTCCTCAACCTTCCCCCCTCGCGTCCTCCTCCCAAGGGCCATCCGGCCCTCCTCAACCTTCCCCCCTCGCGTCCTCCTCCCAAGGGCCATCCGGCCCTCCTCAACCTTCCCCCCTCGCGTCCTCCTCCCAAGGGCCATCCGGCCCTCCTCAACCTTCCCCCCTCGCGTCCTCCTCCCAAGGGCCATCCGGCCCTCCTCAACCTTCCCCCCTCGCGTCCTCCTCCCAAGGGCCATCCGGCCCTCCTCAACCTTCCCCCCTCGCGTCCTCCTCCCAAGGGCCATCCGGCCCTCCTCAACCTTCCCCCCTCGCGTCCTCCTCCCAAGGGCCATCCGGCCCTCCTCAACCTTCCCCCCTCGCGTCCTCCTCCCAAGGGCCATCCGGCCCTCCTCAACCTTCCCCCCTCGCGTCCTCCTCCCAAGGGCCATCCGGCCCTCCTCAACCTTCCCCCCTCGCGTCCTCCTCCCAAGGGCCATCCGGCCCTCCTCAACCTTCCCCCCTCGCGTCCTCCTCCCAAGGGCCATCCGGCCCTCCTCAACCTTCCCCCCTCGCGTCCTCCTCCCAAGGGCCATCCGGCCCTCCTCAACCTTCCCCCCTCGCGTCCTCCTCCCAAGGGCCATCCGGCCCTCCTCAACCTTCCCCCCTCGCGTCCTCCTCCCAAGGGCCATCCGGCCCTCCTCAACCTTCCCCCCTCGCGTCCTCCTCCCAAGGGCCATCCGGCCCTCCTCAACCTTCCCCCCTCGCGTCCTCCTCCCAAGGGCCATCCGGCCCTCCTCAACCTTCCCCCCTCGCGTCCTCCTCCCAAGGGCCATCCGGCCCTCCTCAACCTTCCCCCCTCGCGTCCTCCTCCCAAGGGCCATCCGGCCCTCCTCAACCTTCCCCCCTCGCGTCCTCCTCCCAAGGGCCATCCGGCCCTCCTCAACCTTCCCCCCTCGCGTCCTCCTCCCAAGGGCCATCCGGCCCTCCTCAACCTTCCCCCCTCGCGTCCTCCTCCCAAGGGCCATCCGGCCCTCCTCAACCTTCCCCCCTCGCGTCCTCCTCCCAAGGGCCATCCGGCCCTCCTCAACCTTCCCCCCTCGCGTCCTCCTCCCAAGGGCCATCCGGCCCTCCTCAACCTTCCCCCCTCGCGTCCTCCTCCCAAGGGCCATCCGGCCCTCCTCAACCTTCCCCCCTCGCGTCCTCCTCCCAAGGGCCATCCGGCCCTCCTCAAACCTTCCCCCCTCGCGTCCTCCTCCCAAGGGCCATCCGGCCCTCCTCAACCTTCCCCCCTCGCGTCCTCCTCCCAAGGGCCATCCGGCCCTCCTCAACCTTCCCCCCTCGCGTCCTCCTCCCAAGGGCCATCCGGCCCTCCTCAACCTTCCCCCCTCGCGTCCTCCTCCCAAGGGCCATCCGGCCCTCCTCAACCTTCCCCCCTCGCGTCCTCCTCCCAAGGGCCATCCGGCCCTCCTCAACCTTCCCCCCTCGCGTCCTCCTCCCAAGGGCCATCCGGCCCTCCTCAACCTTCCCCCCTCGCGTCCTCCTCCCAAGGGCCATCCGGCCCTCCTCAACCTTCCCCCCTCGCGTCCTCCTCCCAAGGGCCATCCGGCCCTCCTCAACCTTCCCCCCTCGCGTCCTCCTCCCAAGGGCCATCCGGCCCTCCTCAACCTTCCCCCCTCGCGTCCTCCTCCCAAGGGCCATCCGGCCCTCCTCAACCTTCCCCCCCTCGCGTCCTCCTCCCAAGGGCCATCCGGCCCCTCCTCAACCTTCCCCCCTCGCGTCCTCCTCCCAAGGGCCATCCGGCCCTCCTCAACCTTCCCCCCTCGCGTCCTCCTCCCAAGGGCCATCCGGCCCTCCTCAACCTTCCCCCCTCGCGTCCTCCTCCCAAGGGCCATCCGGCCCTCCTCAACCTTCCCCCTCGCGTCCTCCTCCCAAGGGCCATCCGGCCCTCCTCAACCTTCCCCCCTCGCGTCCTCCTCCCAAGGGCCATCCGGCCCTCCTCAACCTTCCCCCCTCGCGTCCTCCTCCCAAGGGCCATCCGGCCCTCCTCAACCTTCCCCCTCGCGTCCTCCTCCCAAGGGCCATCCGGCCCTCCTCAACCTTCCCCCCTCGCGTCCTCCTCCCAAGGGCCATCCGGCCCTCCTCAAACCTTCCCCCCTCGCGTCCTCCTCCCAAGGGCCATCCGGCCCTCCTCAACCTTCCCCCCTCGCGTCCTCCTCCCAAGGGCCATCCGGCCCTCCTCAACCTTCCCCCCTCGCGTCCTCCTCCCAAGGGCCATCCGGCCCTCCTCAACCTTCCCCCCTCGCGTCCTCCTCCCAAGGGCCATCCGGCCCTCCTCAACCTTCCCCCCTCGCGTCCTCCTCCCAAGGGCCATCCGGCCCTCCTCAACCTTCCCCCCTCGCGTCCTCCTCCCAAGGGCCATCCGGCCCTCCTCAACCTTCCCCCCTCGCGTCCTCCTCCCAAGGGCCATCCGGCCCTCCTCAACCTTCCCCCCTCGCGTCCTCCTCCCAAGGGCCATCCGGCCCTCCTCAACCTTCCCCCCTCGCGTCCTCCTCCCAAGGGCCATCCGGCCCTCCTCAACCTTCCCCCCTCGCGTCCTCCTCCCAAGGGCCATCCGGCCCTCCTCAACCTTCCCCCCTCGCGTCCTCCTCCCAAGGGCCATCCGGCCCTCCTCAACCTTCCCCCCTCGCGTCCTCCTCCCAAGGGCCATCCGGCCCTCCTCAACCTTCCCCCCTCGCGTCCTCCTCCCAAGGGCCATCCGGCCCTCCTCAACCTTCCCCCCTCGCGTCCTCCTCCCAAGGGCCATCCGGCCCTCCTCAACCTTCCCCCCTCGCGTCCTCCTCCCAAGGGCCATCCGGCCCTCCTCAACCTTCCCCCCTCGCGTCCTCCTCCCAAGGGCCATCCGGCCCTCCTCAACCTTCCCCCCTCGCGTCCTCCTCCCAAGGGCCATCCGGCCCTCCTCAACCTTCCCCCCTCGCGTCCTCCTCCCAAGGGCCATCCGGCCCTCCTCAACCTTCCCCCCTCGCGTCCTCCTCCCAAGGGCCATCCGGCCCTCCTCAACCTTCCCCCCTCGCGTCCTCCTCCCAAGGGCCATCCGGCCCTCCTCAACCTTCCCCCCTCGCGTCCTCCTCCCAAGGGCCATCCGGCCCTCCTCAACCTTCCCCCCTCGCGTCCTCCTCCCAAGGGCCATCCGGCCCTCCTCAACCTTCCCCCCTCGCGTCCTCCTCCCAAGGGCCATCCGGCCCTCCTCAACCTTCCCCCTCGCGTCCTCCTCCCAAGGGCCATCCGGCCCTCCTCAACCTTCCCCCCTCGCGTCCTCCTCCCAAGGGCCATCCGGCCCTCCTCAACCTTCCCCCCTCGCGTCCTCCTCCCAAGGGCCATCCGGCCCTCCTCAACCTTCCCCCCTCGCGTCCTCCTCCCAAGGGCCATCCGGCCCTCCTCAACCTTCCCCCCTCGCGTCCTCCTCCCAAGGGCCATCCGGCCCTCCTCAACCTTCCCCCCTCGCGTCCTCCTCCCAAGGGCCATCCGGCCCTCCTCAACCTTCCCCCCTCGCGTCCTCCTCCCAAGGGCCATCCGGCCCTCCTCAACCTTCCCCCCTCGCGTCCTCCTCCCAAGGGCCATCCGGCCCTCCTCAACCTTCCCCCCTCGCGTCCTCCTCCCAAGGGCCATCCGGCCCTCCTCAACCTTCCCCCCTCGCGTCCTCCTCCCAAGGGCCATCCGGCCCTCCTCAACCTTCCCCCCTCGCGTCCTCCTCCCAAGGGCCATCCGGCCCTCCTCAACCTTCCCCCCTCGCGTCCTCCTCCCAAGGGCCATCCGGCCCTCCTCAACCTTCCCCCCTCGCGTCCTCCTCCCAAGGGCCATCCGGCCCTCCTCAACCTTCCCCCCTCGCGTCCTCCTCCCAAGGGCCATCCGGCCCTCCTCAACCTTCCCCCCTCGCGTCCTCCTCCCAAGGGCCATCCGGCCCTCCTCAACCTTCCCCCCTCGCGTCCTCCTCCCAAGGGCCATCCGGCCCTCCTCAACCTTCCCCCCTCGCGTCCTCCTCCCAAGGGCCATCCGGCCCTCCTCAACCTTCCCCCTCGCGTCCTCCTCCCAAGGGCCATCCGGCCCTCCTCAACCTTCCCCCCTCGCGTCCTCCTCCCAAGGGCCATCCGGCCCTCCTCAACCTTCCCCCCTCGCGTCCTCCTCCCAAGGGCCATCCGGCCCTCCTCAACCTTCCCCCCTCGCGTCCTCCTCCCAAGGGCCATCCGGCCCTCCTCAACCTTCCCCCCTCGCGTCCTCCTCCCAAGGGCCATCCGGCCCTCCTCAACCTTCCCCCCTCGCGTCCTCCTCCCAAGGGCCATCCGGCCCTCCTCAACCTTCCCCCCTCGCGTCCTCCTCCCAAGGGCCATCCGGCCCTCCTCAACCTTCCCCCCTCGCGTCCTCCTCCCAAGGGCCATCCGGCCCTCCTCAACCTTCCCCCCTCGCGTCCTCCTCCCAAGGGCCATCCGGCCCTCCTCAACCTTCCCCCCTCGCGTCCTCCTCCCAAGGGCCATCCGGCCCTCCTCAACCTTCCCCCCTCGCGTCCTCCTCCCAAGGGCCATCCGGCCCTCCTCAACCTTCCCCCTCGCGTCCTCCTCCAAGGGCCATCCGCCGCCTCAACCTCCCCCTCGCGCCTCCTCCCAAGGGCCATCCGGCCCTCCTCAACCTTCCCCCCTCGCGTCCTCCTCCCAAGGGCCATCCGGCCCTCCTCAACCTTCCCCCCTCGCGTCCTCCTCCCAAGGGCCATCCGGCCCTCCTCAACCTTCCCCCCTCGCGTCCTCCTCCCAAGGGCCATCCGGCCCTCCTCAACCTTCCCCCTCGCGTCCTCCTCCCAAGGGCCATCCGGCCCTCCTCAACCTTCCCCCTCGCGTCCTCCTCCCAAGGGCCATCCGGCCCTCCTCAACCTTCCCCCCTCGCGTCCTCCTCCCAAGGGCCATCCGGCCCTCCTCAACCTTCCCCCCTCGCGTCCTCCTCCCAAGGGCCATCCGGCCCTCCTCAACCTTCCCCCTCGCGTCCTCCTCCCAAGGGCCATCCGGCCCTCCTCAACCTTCCCCCCTCGCGTCCTCCTCCCAAGGGCCATCCGGCCCTCCTCAACCTTCCCCCCTCGCGTCCTCCTCCCAAGGGCCATCCGGCCCTCCTCAACCTTCCCCCCTCGCGTCCTCCTCCCAAGGGCCATCCGGCCCTCCTCAACCTTCCCCCCTCGCGTCCTCCTCCCAAGGGCCATCCGGCCCTCCTCAACCTTCCCCCCTCGCGTCCTCCTCCCAAGGGCCATCCGGCCCTCCTCAACCTTCCCCCCCTCGCGTCCTCCTCCCAAGGGCCATCCGGCCCTCCTCAACCTTCCCCCCTCGCGTCCTCCTCCCAAGGGCCATCCGGCCCTCCTCAACCTTCCCCCCTCGCGTCCTCCTCCCAAGGGCCATCCGGCCCTCCTCAACCTTCCCCCCTCGCGTCCTCCTCCCAAGGGCCATCCGGCCCTCCTCAACCTTCCCCCCTCGCGTCCTCCTCCCAAGGGCCATCCGGCCCTCCTCAACCTTCCCCCCTCGCGTCCTCCTCCCAAGGGCCATCCGGCCCTCCTCAACCTTCCCCCCTCGCGTCCTCCTCCCAAGGGCCATCCGGCCCTCCTCAACCTTCCCCCCTCGCGTCCTCCTCCCAAGGGCCATCCGGCCCTCCTCAACCTTCCCCCCTCGCGTCCTCCTCCCAAGGGCCATCCGGCCCTCCTCAACCTTCCCCCCTCGCGTCCTCCTCCCAAGGGCCATCCGGCCCTCCTCAACCTTCCCCCCTCGCGTCCTCCTCCCAAGGGCCATCCGGCCCTCCTCAACCTTCCCCCCTCGCGTCCTCCTCCCAAGGGCCATCCGGCCCTCCTCAACCTTCCCCCCTCGCGTCCTCCTCCCAAGGGCCATCCGGCCCTCCTCAACCTTCCCCCCTCGCGTCCTCCTCCCAAGGGCCATCCGGCCCTCCTCAACCTTCCCCCCTCGCGTCCTCCTCCCAAGGGCCATCCGGCCCTCCTCAACCTTCCCCCCTCGCGTCCTCCTCCCAAGGGCCATCCGGCCCTCCTCAACCTTCCCCCCTCGCGTCCTCCTCCCAAGGGCCATCCGGCCCTCCTCAACCTCCCCTCGCGTCCTCCTCCCAAGGGCCATCCGCCCTCCTCAACCTTCCCCCCTCGCGTCCTCCTCCCAAGGGCCATCCGGCCCTCCTCAACCTTCCCCCCTCGCGTCCTCCTCCCAAGGGCCATCCGGCCCTCCTCAACCTTCCCCCCTCGCGTCCTCCTCCCAAGGGCCATCCGGCCCTCCTCAACCTTCCCCCCTCGCGTCCTCCTCCCAAGGGCCATCCGGCCCTCCTCAACCTTCCCCCCTCGCGTCCTCCTCCCAAGGGCCATCCGGCCCTCCTCAACCTTCCCCCCTCGCGTCCTCCTCCCAAGGGCCATCCGGCCCTCCTCAACCTTCCCCCCTCGCGTCCTCCTCCCAAGGGCCATCCGGCCCTCCTCAACCTTCCCCCCTCGCGTCCTCCTCCCAAGGGCCATCCGGCCCTCCTCAACCTTCCCCCCTCGCGTCCTCCTCCCAAGGGCCATCCGGCCCTCCTCAACCTTCCCCCCTCGCGTCCTCCTCCCAAGGGCCATCCGGCCCTCCTCAACCTTCCCCCCTCGCGTCCTCCTCCCAAGGGCCATCCGGCCCTCCTCAACCTTCCCCCCTCGCGTCCTCCTCCCAAGGGCCATCCGGCCCTCCTCAACCTTCCCCCCTCGCGTCCTCCTCCCAAGGGCCATCCGGCCCTCCTCAACCTTCCCCCCTCGCGTCCTCCTCCCAAGGGCCATCCGGCCCTCCTCAACCTTCCCCCCTCGCGTCCTCCTCCCAAGGGCCATCCGGCCCTCCTCAACCTTCCCCCCTCGCGTCCTCCTCCCAAGGGCCATCCGGCCCTCCTCAACCTTCCCCCCTCGCGTCCTCCTCCCAAGGGCCATCCGGCCCTCCTCAACCTTCCCCCCTCGCGTCCTCCTCCCAAGGGCCATCCGGCCCTCCTCAACCTTCCCCCCTCGCGTCCTCCTCCCAAGGGCCATCCGGCCCTCCTCAACCTTCCCCCTCGCGTCCTCCTCCCAAGGGCCATCCGGCCCTCCTCAACCTTCCCCCCTCGCGTCCTCCTCCCAAGGGCCATCCGGCCCTCCTCAACCTTCCCCCCTCGCGTCCTCCTCCCAAGGGCCATCCGGCCCTCCTCAACCTTCCCCCCTCGCGTCCTCCTCCCAAGGGCCATCCGGCCCTCCTCAACCTTCCCCCCTCGCGTCCTCCTCCCAAGGGCCATCCGGCCCTCCTCAACCTTCCCCCCTCGCGTCCTCCTCCCAAGGGCCATCCGGCCCTCCTCAACCTTCCCCCCTCGCGTCCTCCTCCCAAGGGCCATCCGGCCCTCCTCAACCTTCCCCCCTCGCGTCCTCCTCCCAAGGGCCATCCGGCCCTCCTCAACCTTCCCCCCTCGCGTCCTCCTCCCAAGGGCCATCCGGCCCTCCTCAACCTTCCCCCCTCGCGTCCTCCTCCCAAGGGCCATCCGGCCCTCCTCAACCTTCCCCCCTCGCGTCCTCCTCCCAAGGGCCATCCGGCCCTCCTCAACCTTCCCCCCTCGCGTCCTCCTCCCAAGGGCCATCCGGCCCTCCTCAACCTTCCCCCCTCGCGTCCTCCTCCCAAGGGCCATCCGGCCCTCCTCAACCTTCCCCCCTCGCGTCCTCCTCCCAAGGGCCATCCGGCCCTCCTCAACCTTCCCCCCTCGCGTCCTCCTCCCAAGGGCCATCCGGCCCTCCTCAACCTTCCCCCCTCGCGTCCTCCTCCCAAGGGCCATCCGGCCCTCCTCAACCTTCCCCCCTCGCGTCCTCCTCCCAAGGGCCATCCGGCCCTCCTCAACCTTCCCCCCTCGCGTCCTCCTCCCAAGGGCCATCCGGCCCTCCTCAACCTTCCCCCCTCGCGTCCTCCTCCCAAGGGCCATCCGGCCCTCCTCAACCTTCCCCCCTCGCGTCCTCCTCCCAAGGGCCATACCGGCCCTCCTCAACCTTCCCCCTCGCGTCCTCCTCCCAAGGGCCATCCGGCCCTCCTCAACCTTCCCCCCTCGCGTCCTCCTCCCAAGGGCCATCCGGCCCTCCTCAACCTTCCCCCCTCGCGTCCTCCTCCCAAGGGCCATCCGGCCCTCCTCAAACCTTCCCCCCCTCGCGTCCTCCTCCCAAGGGCCATCCGGCCCTCCTCAACCTTCCCCCCTCGCGTCCTCCTCCCAAGGGCCATCCGGCCCTCCTCAACCTTCCCCCCTCGCGTCCTCCTCCAAGGGCCATCCGGCCCTCCTCAACCTTCCCCCCTCGCGTCCTCCTCCCAAGGGCCATCCGGCCCTCCTCAACCTTCCCCCCTCGCGTCCTCCTCCCAAGGGCCATCCGGCCCTCCTCAACCTTCCCCCCTCGCGTCCTCCTCCCAAGGGCCATCCGGCCCTCCTCAACCTTTCCCCCCTCGCGTCCTCCTCCCAAGGGCCATCCGGCCCTCCTCAACCTTCCCCCCTCGCGTCCTCCTCCCAAGGGCCATCCGGCCCTCCTCAACCTTCCCCCCTCGCGTCCTCCTCCCAAGGGCCATCCGGCCCCTCCTCAACCTTCCCCCCTCGCGTCCTCCTCCCAAGGGCCATCCGGCCTCCTCAACCTTCCCCCCTCGCGTCCTCCTCCCAAGGGCCATCCGGCCCTCCTCAACCTTCCCCCCTCGCGTCCTCCTCCCAAGGGCCATCCGGCCCTCCTCAACCTTCCCCCCTCGCGTCCTCCTCCCAAGGGCCATCCGGCCCTCCTCAACCTTCCCCCCTCGCGTCCTCCTCCCAAGGGCCATCCGGCCCTCCTCAACCTTCCCCCCTCGCGTCCTCCTCCCAAGGGCCATCCGGCCCTCCTCAACCTTCCCCTCCCACCTCGCGTCCTCCTCCCAAGGGCCATCCGGCCCTCCTCAACCTTCCCCCCTCGCGTCCTCCTCCCAAGGGCCATCCGGCCCTCCTCAACCTTCCCCCCTCGCGTCCTCCTCCAAGGGCCATCCGGCCCTCCTCAACCTTCCCCCCTCGCGTCCTCCTCCCAAAGGGCCATCCGCCCTCCTCAACCTTCCCCCCTCGCGTCCTCCTCCCAAGGGCCATCCGGCCCTCCTCAAACCTTCCCCCCTCGCGTCCTCCTCCCAAGGGCCATCCGGCCCTCCTCAACCTTCCCCCCTCGCGTCCTCCTCCCAAGGGCCATCCGGCCCTCCTCAACCTTCCCCCCTCGCGTCCTCCTCCCAAGGGCCATCCGCCCTCCTCAACCTTCCCCCTCGCGTCCTCCTCCCAAGGGCCATCCGGCCCTCCTCAACCTTCCCCCCTCGCGTCCTCCTCCCAAGGGCCATCCGGCCCTCCTCAACCTTCCCCCCTCGCGTCCTCCTCCCAAGGGCCATCCGGCCCTCCTCACCTTCCCCCCTCGCGTCCTCCTCCCAAGGGCCATCCGGCCCTCCTCAACCTTCCCCCTCGCGTCCTCCTCCCAAGGGCCATCCGGCCCTCCTCAACCTTCCCCCCTCGCGTCCTCCTCCCAAGGGCCATCCGGCCCTCCTCAACCTTCCCCCCGTCGCGTCCTCCTCCCAAGGGCCATCCGGCCCTCCTCAACCTTCCCCCCTCGCGTCCTCCTCCCAAGGGCCATCCGGCCCTCCTCAACCTTCCCCCCTCGCGTCCTCCTCCCAAGGGCCATCCGGCCCTCCTCAACCTTCCCCCCTCGCGTCCTCCTCCCAAGGGCCATCCGGCCCTCCTCAACCTTCCCCCCTCGCGTCCTCCTCCCAAGGGCCGCCGCATCCTCACCTTCCCCCTCGCGTCCTCCTCCAAGGGCCATCCGGCCTCTCAACCTTCCCCCCTCGCGTCCTCCTCCCAAGGGCCATCCGGCCCTCCTCAACCTTCCCCCCTCGCGTCCTCCTCCCAAGGGCCATCCGGCCTCCTCAACCTTCCCCCTCGCGTCCTCCTCCCAAGGGCCATCCGGCCCTCCTCAACCTTCCCCCCTCGCGTCCTCCTCCCAAGGGCCATCCGGCCCTCCTCAACCTTCCCCCCTCGCGTCCTCCTCCCAAGGGCCATCCGGCCCCCTCAACCTTCCCCCCTCGCTCCTCCTCCCAAGGGCCATCCGGCCCTCCTCAACCTTCCCACCCTCGCGTCCTCCTCCCAAGGGCCATCCGGCCCTCCTCAACCTTCCCCCCTCGCGTCCTCCTCCCAAGGGCCATCCGGCCCTCCTCAACCTTCCCCCCTCGCGTCCTCCTCCCAAGGGCCATCCGGCCCTCCTCAACCTTCCCCCCTCGCGTCCTCCTCCCAAGGGCCCATCCGGCCCTCCTCAACCTTCCCCCCTCGCGTCCCTCCTCCCAAGGGCCATCCGGCCTCCTCAACCGTCCCCTCGCTCCTCCTCCATGGCCCATCCGGCCTCCTCAACCTTCCCACCCTCGCGTCCTCCTCCCAAGGGCCATCCGGCCCTCCTCAACCTTCCCCCCTCCGCGTCCTCCTCCAAGGGGCCATCCGGCCCTCCTCAACCTTCCCCTCCTCCGCGTCCTCCTCCCAAGGGCCATCCGGCCCTCCTCAACCTTCCCCCCTCGCGTCCTCCTCCAAGGGCCATCCGGCCCTCCTCAACCTTCCCCCCTCGCGTCCTCCTCCCAAGGGCCATCCGGCCCTCCTCAACCTTCCCCCTCGCGTCCTCCTCCCAAGGGCCATCCGGCCCTCCTCAACCTTCCCCCCTCGCGTCCTCCTCCCAAGGGCCATCCGGCCCTCCTCAACCTTCCCCCCTCGCGTCCTCCTCCCAAGGGCCATCCGGCCCTCCTCAACCTTCCCCCCTCGCGTCCTCCTCCCAAGGGCCATCCGGCCCTCCTCAACCTTCCCCCCTCGCGTCCTCCTCCCAAGGGCCATCCGGCCCTCCTCAACCTTCCCCCCTCGCGTCCTCCTCCCAAGGGCCATCCGGCCCTCCTCAACCTTCCCCCCTCGCGTCCTCCTCCCAAGGGCCATCCGGCCCTCCTCAACCTTCCCCCCTCGCGTCCTCCTCCCAAGGGCCATCCGGCCCTCCTCAACCTTCCCCCCTCGCGTCCTCCTCCCAAGGGCCATCCGGCCCTCCTCAACCTTCCCCCCCTCGCGTCCTCCTCCCAAGGGCCATCCGGCCCTCCTCAACCTTCCCCCCTCGCGTCCTCCTCCCAAGGGCCATCCGGCCCTCCTCAACCTTCCCCCCTCGCGTCCTCCTCCCAAGGGCCATCCGGCCCTCCTCAACCTTCCCCCCTCGCGTCCTCCTCCCAAGGGCCATCCGGCCCTCCTCAACCTTCCCCCCTCGCGTCCTCCTCCCAAGGGCCATCCGGCCCTCCTCAACCTTCCCCCCTCGCGTCCTCCTCCCAAGGGCCATCCGGCCCTCCTCAACCTTCCCCCCTCGCGTCCTCCTCCCAAGGGCCATCCGGCCCTCCTCAACCTTCCCCCCTCGCGTCCTCCTCCCAAGGGCCATCCGGCCCTCCTCAACCTTCCCCCCTCGCGTCCTCCTCCCAAGGGCCATCCGGCCCTCCTCAACCTTCCCCCCTCGCGTCCTCCTCCCAAGGGCCATCCGGCCCTCCTCAACCTTCCCCCCTCGCGTCCTCCTCCAAGGGCCATCCGGCCCTCCTCAACCTTCCCCCCTCGCGTCCTCCTCCCAAGGGCCATCCGGCCCTCCTCAACCTTCCCTCCCCTCGCGTCCTCCTCCCAAAGGGCCATCCGGCCCTCCTCAACCTTCCCCCCTCGCGTCCTCCTCCCAAGGGCCATCCGGCCCTCCTCAACCTTCCCCCCTCGCGTCCTCCTCCCAAGGGCCATCCGGCCCTCCTCAACCTTCCCCCCTCGCGTCCTCCTCCCAAGGGCCATCCGGCCCTCCTCACCTTCCCCCCTCGCGTCCTCCTCCCAAGGGCCATCCGGCCCTCCTCAACCTTCCCCCCTCGCGTCCTCCTCCCAAGGGCCATCCGGCCCTCCTCAACCTTCCCCCCTCGCGTCCTCCTCCCAAGGGCCATCCGCCCTCCTCAACCTTCCCCCCTCGCGTCCTCCTCCCAAGGGCCATCCGGCCCTCCTCACCTTCCCCCCTCGCGTCCTCCTCCCAAGGGCCATCCGGCCCTCCTCAACCTTCCCCCCTCGCGTCCTCCTCCCAAGGGCCATCCGGCCTCCTCACCTTCCCCCCTCGCGTCCTCCTCCCAAGGGCCATCCGGCCCGTCCTCAACCTTCCCCCCTCGCGTCCTCCTCCCAAGGGCCATCCGGCCCTCCTCAACCTATCCCCCTCGCGTCCTCCTCCCAAGGGCCATCCGGCCCTCCTCAACCTTCCCCCCTCGCGTCCTCCTCCCAAGGGCCATCCGGCCCTCCTCAACCTTCCCCCCTCGCGTCCTCCTCCCAAGGGCCATCCGGCCCTCCTCAACCTTCCCCCTCGCGTCCTCCTCCCAAGGGCCATCCGGCCCTCCTCAACCTTCCCCCCTCGCGTCCTCCTCCCAAGGGCCATCCGGCCCTCCTCAACCTTCCCCCCCTCGCGTCCTCCTCCCAGGGCCATCCGGCCCTCCTCAACCTTCCCCCCTCCCCCCTCGCGTCCTCCTCCCAAGGGCCATCCGGCCCTCCTCAACCTTCCCCCCTCGCGTCCTCCTCCAAGGGCCATCCGGCCCTCCTCAACCTTCCCCCCTCGCGTCCTCCTCCCAAGGGCCATCCGGCCCTCCTCAACCTTCCCCCTCGCGTCCTCCTCCCAAGGGCCATCCGGCCCTCCTCAACCCTTCCCCCCTCGCGTCCTCCTCCCAAGGGCCATCCGGCCCTCCTCAACCTTCCCCCTCGCGTCCTCCTCCCAAGGGCCATCCGGCCCTCCTCAACCTTCCCCCCTCGCGTCCTCCTCCCCAGGGCCATCCGGCCCTCCTCAACCTTCCCCCCTCGCGTCCCTCCTCCCAAGGGCCATCCGGCCCTCCTCAACCTTCCCCCCTCCGCGTCCTCCTCCCAAGGGCCATCCGGCCCTCCTCAAACCTTCCCCCCCTCGCGTCCTCCTCCCAAGGGCCATCCGGCCCTCCTCAACCTTCCCCCCTCGCGTCCTCCTCCCAAGGGCCATCCGGCCCTCCTCAACCTTCCCCCCTCGCGTCCTCCTCCCAAGGGCCATCCGGCCCTCCTCAACCTTCCCCCTCGCGTCCTCCTCCCAAGGGCCATCCGGCCCTCCTCAACCTTCCCCCCTCGCGTCCTCCTCCCAAGGGCCATCCGGCCCTCCTCAACCTTCCCCCCTCGCGTCCTCCTCCCAAGGGCCATCCGGCCCTCCTCAACCTTCCCCCTCGCGTCCTCCTCCCAGGGCCATCCGGCCCTCCTCAACCTTCCCCCCTCGCGTCCTCCTACCAAGGGCCATCCGGCCCTCCTCAACCTTCCCCCTCGCTCCTCCTCCCAAGGGCCATCCGGCCCTCCTCAACCTTCCCCCCTCGCGTCCTCCTCCCAAGGGCCATCCGCCCTCCTCAACCTTCCCCCCTCGCGTCCTCCTCCCAAGGGGCCATCCGCCCTCCTCAAACTTCCCCCCTCGCGTCCTCCTCCCAAGGGCCATCCGGCCCTCCTCAACCTTCCCCCCTCGCGTCCTCCTCCCAAGGGCCATCCGGCCCTCCTCAACCTTCCCCCCTCGCGTCCTCCTCCCAAGGGCCATCCGGCCCTCCTCAACCTTCCCCCTCGCGTCCTCCTCCCAAGGGCCATCCGGCCTCCTCAACCTTCCCCCCTCGCGTCCTCCTCCCAAGGGCCATCCGGCCCTCCTCAACCTTCCCCCCTCGCGTCCTCCTCCCAAGGGCCATCCGGCCCTCCTCAACCTTCCCCCCTCGCGTCCTCCTCCCAAGGGCCATCCGGCCCTCCTCAACCTTCCCCCCTCGCGTCCTCCTCCCAAGGGCCATCCGGCCCTCCTCAACCTTCCCCCCTCGCGTCTCCTCCCAAGGGCCATCCGGCCCTCCTCAACCTTCCCCCTCGCGTCCTCCTCCCAAGGGCCATCCGGCCCTCCTCAACCTTCCCCCCTCGCGTCCTCCTCCCAAGGGCCATCCGGCCCTCCTCAACCTTCCCCCCCCTCGCGTCCTCCTCCCAAGGGCCATCCGGCCCTCCTCAACCTTCCCCCCTCGCGTCCTCCTCCCAAGGGCCATCCGGCCCTCCTCAACCTTCCCCCCTCGCGTCCTCCTCCCAAGGGCCATCCGGCCCTCCTCAACCTTCCCCCTCGCGTCCTCCTCCCAAGGGCCATCCGGCCCTCCTCAACCTTCCCCCCTCGCGTCCTCCTCCCAAGGGCCATCCGGCCCTCCTCAACCTTCCCCCCTCGCGTCCTCCTCCCAAGGGCCATCCGGCCCTCCTCAACCTTCCCCCCTCGCGTCATCCTCCCAAGGGCCATCCGGCCCTCCTCAACCTTCCCCCCTCGCGTCCTCCTCCCAAGGGCCATCCGGCCCTCCTCAACCTTCCCCCCTCGCGTCCTCCTCCCAAGGGCCATCCGGCCCTCCTCAACCTTCCCCCCTCGCGTCCTCCTCCCAAGGGCCATCCGGCCCTCCTCAACCTTCCCCCCTCGCGTCCTCCTCCCAAGGGCCATCCGGCCCTCCTCAACCTTCCCCCTCGCGTCCTCCTCCCAAGGGCCATCCGGCCCTCCTCAACCTTCCCCCCTCGCGTCCTCCTCCCAAGGGCCATCCGGCCCTCCTCAACCTTCCCCCCTCGCGTCCTCCTCCCAAGGGCCATCCGGCCCTCCTCAACCTTCCCCCCTCGCGTCCTCCTCCCAAGGGCCATCCGGCCCTCCTCAACCTTCCCCCCTCGCGTCCTCCTCCCAAGGGCCATCCGGCCCTCCTCAACCTTCCCCCTCGCGTCCTCCTCCAAGGGGCCATCCGGCCCTCCTCAACCTTCCCCCCTCGCGTCCTCCTCCCAAGGGCCATCCGGCCCTCCTCAACCTTCCCCCCTCGCGTCCTCCTCCCAAGGGCCATCCGGCCCTCCTCAACCTTCCCCCCTCGCGTCCTCCTCCCAAGGGCCATCCGGCCCTCCTCAACCTTCCCCCTCGCGTCCTCCTCCCAAGGGCCATCCGGCCCTCCTCAACCTTCCCCCGCGCGTCCTCCTCCCAGGGCCATCCGGCCCTCCTCAACCTTCCCCTCGCTCCTCCCAAGGGCCATCCGGCCCTCCTCAACCTTCCCCCCTCGCGTCCTCCTCCCAAGGGCCATCCGGCCCTCCTCAACCTTCCCCCCTCGCGTCCTCCTCCCAAGGGCCATCCGGCCCTCCTCAACCTTCCCCCCTCGCGTCCTCCTCCCAAGGGCCATCCGGCCCTCCTCAACCTTCCCCCCTCGCGTCCTCCTCCCAAGGGCCATCCGGCCCTCCTCAACCTTCCCCCCTCGCGTCCTCCTCCCAAGGGCCATCCGGCCCTCCTCAACCTTCCACCCCGTCGCGTCCTCCTCCAAGGGCCATGCCGGCCCTCCTCAACCTTCCCCCCTCGCGTCCTCCTCCCAAGGGCCATCCGGCCCTCCTCAACCTTCCCCCCTCGCGTCCTCCTCCCAAGGGCCATCCGGCCCTCCTCAACCTTCCCCCCTCGCGTCCTCCTCCCAAGGGCCATCCGCCCTCCTCAACCTTCCCCCCTCGCGTCCTCCTCCCAAGGGCCATCCGGCCCTCCTCAACCTTCCCCCCTCGCGTCCTCCTCCCAAGGGCCATCCGGCCCTCCTCAACCTTCCCCCCTCGCGTCCTCCTCCCAAGGGCCATCCGGCCCTCCTCAACCTTCCCCCCTCGCGTCCTCCTCCCAAGGGCCATCCGGCCCTCCTCAACCTTCCCCCCTCGCGTCCTCCTCCCAAGGGCCATCCGGCCCTCCTCAACCTTCACCCCCTCGCGTCCCTCCTCCCAAGGGCCATCCGGCCCTCCTCACCTTCCCCCCTCGCGTCCTCCTCCCAAGGGCCATCCGGCCCTCCTCAACCTTCCCCCCTCGCGTCCTCCTCCCAAGGGCCATCCGGCCCTCCTCAAACCTTCCCCCCTCGCGTCCTCCTCCCAAGGGCCATCCGGCCCTCCTCAACCTTCCCCCCTCGCGTCCTCCTCCCAAGGGCCATCCGGCCCTCCTCAACCTTCCCCCCTCGCGTCCTCCTCCCAAGGGCCATCCGGCCCTCCTCACCTTCCCCCCTCGCGTCCTCCTCCCAAGGGCCATCCGGCCCTCCTCAACCTTCCCCCCTCGCGTCCTCCTCCCAAGGGCCATCCGGCCCTCCTCAACCTTCCCCCCTCGCGTCCTCCTCCCAAGGGCCATCCGGCCCTCCTCAACCTTCCCCCCTCGCGTCCTCCTCCCAAGGGCCATCCGGCCCTCCTCAACCTTCCCCCCTCGCGTCCTCCTCCCAAGGGCCATCCGGCCCTCCTCAACCTTCCCCCCTCGCGTCCTCCTCCCAAGGGCCATCCGGCCCTCCTCAACCTTCCCCCCTCGCGTCCTCCTCCCAAGGGCCATCCGGCCCTCCTCAACCTTCCCCCCTCGCGTCCTCCTCCCAAGGGCCATCCGGCCATCCTCAACCTTCCCCCTCGCGGTCCTCCTCCCAAGGGCCATCCGGCCCTCCTCAACCTTCCCCCCTCGCGTCCTCCTCCCAAGGGCCATCCGGCCCTCCTCAACCTTCCCACCCTCGCGTCCTCCTCCCAAGGGCCATCCGGCCCTCCTCAACCGTCCCCCCTCGCGTCCTCCTCCCAAGGGCCATCCGGCCCTCCTCACCTTCCCCCCTCGCGTCCTCCTCCCAAGGGCCATCCGGCCCTCCTCAACCTTCCCCCCTCGCGTCCTCCTCCCAAGGGCCATCCGGCCCTCCTCAACCTTCCCCCCTCGCGTCCTCCTCCCAAGGGCCATCCGGCCCTCCTCAACCTTCCCCCCTCGCGTCCTCCTCCCAAGGGCCATCCGGCCCTCCTCAACCTTCCCCCCTCGCGTCCTCCTCCCAAGGGCCATCCGGCCCTCCTCAACCTTCCCCCCTCGCGTCCTCCTCCCAAGGGCCATCCGGCCCTCCTCAACCTTCCCCCCTCGCGTCCTCCTCCCAAGGGCCATCCGGCCCTCCTCAACCTTCCCCCCTCGCGTCCTCCCTCCCAAGGGCCATCCGGCCCTCCTCAACCTTCCCCCCTCGCGTCCTCCTCCCAAGGGCCATCCCGGCCCTCCTCAACCTTCCCCCCTCGCGTCCTCCTCCCAAGGGCCATCCGGCCCTCCTCAACCTTCCCCCCCTCGCGTCCTCCTCCCAAGGGCCATCCGGCCCTCCTCAACCTTCCCCCCTCGCGTCCTCCTCCCAAGGGCCATCCGGCCCTCCTCAACCTTCCCCCCTCGCGTCCTCCTCCACCCAAGGGCCATCCGGCCTCCTCAACCTTCCCCCCTCGGCGTCCTCCTCCCAAGGGCCATCCGGCCCTCCTCAACCTTCCCCCCTCGCGTCCTCTCCCAAGGGCCATCCGGCCCTCCTCAACCTTCCCCCCTCGCGTCCTCCTCCCAAGGGCCATCCGGCCCTCCTCAACCTTCCCCCCTCGCGTCCTCCTCCCAAGGGCCATCCGGCCCTCCTCAACCTTCCCCCCTCGCGTCCTCCTCCCAAGGGCCATCCGGCCCTCCTCAACCTTCCCCCCTCGCGTCCTCCTCCCAAGGGCCATCCGGCCCTCCTCAACCTTCCCCCCTCGCGTCCTCCTCCCAAGGGCCATCCGGCCCTCCTCAACCTTCCCCCCTCGCGTCCTCCTCCCAAGGGCCATCCGGCCCTCCTCAACCTTCCCCCCCTCGCGTCCTCCTCCCAAGGGCCATCCGGCCCTCCTCAACCTTCCCCCCTCGCGTCCTCCTCCAAGGGCCATCCGGCCCTCCTCAACCTTCCCCCCTCGCGTCCTCCTCCCAAGGGCCATCCGGCCCTCCTCAACCTTCCCCCCTCGCGTCCTCCTCCCAAGGGCCATCCGGCCCTCCTCAACCTTCCCCCCTCGCGTCCTCCTCCCAAGGGCCATCCGGCCCTCCTCAACTTCCCCCCTCGCGTCCTCCTCCCAAGGGCCATCCGGCCCTCCTCAACCTTCCCCCCTCGCGTCCTCCTCCCAAGGGCCATCCGGCCCTCCTCAACCTTCCCCCCTCGCGTCCTCCTCCCAAGGGCCATCCGGCCCTCCTCAACCTTCCCCCTCGCGTCCTCCTCCAAGGGCATCCGGCCCTCCTCAACTTCCCACCTCTCGCGTCCTCCTCCCAAGGGCCATCCGGCCCTCCTCAACCTTCCCCCTCGCGTCCTCCTCCCAAGGGCCATCCGGCCCTCCTCAACCTTCCCCCCTCGCGTCCTCCTCCCAAGGGCCATCCGGCCCTCCTCAACCTTCCCCCCTCGCGTCCTCCTCCCAAGGGCCATCCGGCCCTCCTCAACCTTCCCCCCTCGCGTCCTCCTCCCAAGGGCCATCCGGCCCTCCTCAACCTTCCCACCCTCGCGTCCTCCTCCCAAGGGCCATCCGGCCCTCCCTCAGACCTTCCCCCCTCGCGTCCTCCTCCCAAGGGCCATCCGGCCTCCTCAACCTTCCCCCCTCGCGTCCTCCTCCCAAGGGCCATCCGGCCTCCTCAACCTTCCCCCCTCGCGTCCTCCTCCCAAGGGCCATCCTGCCCTCCTCAACCTTCCCCCCTCGCGTCCTCCTCCCAAGGGCCATCCGGCCCCTCCTCAACCTTCCCCCCTCGCGTCCTCCTCCCAAGGGCCATCCGGCCCTCCTCAACCTTCCCCCTCCTCGCGTCCTCCTCCCAAGGGCCATCCGGCCCTCCTCAACCTTCCCCCCTCGCGTCCTCCTCCCAAGGGCCATCCGGCCCTCCTCAACCTTCCCCCCCTCGCGTCCTCCTCCCAAGGGCCATCCGGCCCTCCTCAACCTTCCCCCTCGCGTCCTCCTCCCAAGGGCCATCCGGCCCTCCTCAACCTTCCCCCCTCGCGTCCTCCTCCCAAGGGCCATCCGGCCCTCCTCAACCTTCCCCCCTCGCGTCTCCTCCCAAGGGCCATCCGGCCCTCCTCAACCTTCCCCCCCTCGCGTCCTCCTCCCAAGGGCCATCCGGCCCTCCTCAACCTTCCCCCCTCGCGTCCTCCTCCCAAGGGCCATCCGGCCCTCCTCAACCTTCCCCCCTCGCGTCCTCCTCCCAGGGCCATCCGGCCCTCCTCAACCTTCCCCCCTCAGCGTCCTCCTCCCAAGGGCCATCCGGCCCTCCTCAACCTTCCCCCCTCGCGTCCTCCTCCCAAGGGCCATCCGGCCCTCCTCAACCTTCCCCCCTCGCGTCCTCCTCCCAAGGGCCATCCGGCCCTCCTCAACATCCCCCCTCGCGTCCTCCTCCAGAGGGCCATCCGGCCCTCCTCAACCTTCCCCCCCTCGCGTCCTCCTCCCAAGGGCCATCCGGCCCTCCTCAACCTTCCCCCCCTCGCGTCCTCCTCCCAAGGGCCATCCGGCCCTCCTCAACCTTCCCCCCTCGCGTCCTCCTCCCAAGGGCCATCCGGCCCTCCTCAACCTTCCCCCCTCGCTTCCTCCTCCCAGGGCCATCCGGCCCTCCTCAACCTTCCCCCTCGCGTCCTCTCTCCCAAGGGCCATCCGGCCCTCCTCAACTTCCCCCCTCGCGTCCTTCCTCCCAAGGGCCATCCGGCCCTCCTCAACCTTCCCCTCCGCGTCCTCCTCCCAAGGGCCATCCGCCCTCCTCAACCTTCCCCCCCTCGCGTCCTCCTCCCAAGGGCCATCCGCCCTCCTCAACCTTCCCCCCTCGCGTCCTCCTCCCAAGGGCCATCCGGCCCTCCTCAACCTTCCCCCCTCGCGTCCTCCTCCCAAGGGCCATCCGGCCCTCCTCAACCTTCCCCCCTCGCGTCCTCCTCCCAAGGGCCATCCGGCCCTCCTCAACCTTCCCCCCTCGCGTCCTCCTCCCAAGGGCCATCCGGCCCTCCTCAACCTTCCCCCCCTCGCGTCCTCCTCCCAAGGGCCATCCGGCCCTCCTCAACCTTCCCCCCTCGCGTCCTCCTCCCAAGGGCCATCCGGGCCCTCCTCAACCTTCCCCCCTCGCTTCCTCCTCCCAAGGGCCATCCGGCCCTCCTCAACCTTCCCCCCTCGCGTCCCTCCTCCCAAGGGCCATCCGGCCCTCCTCAACCTTCCCCCCTCGCGTCCTCCTCCCAAGGGCCATCCGGCCCTCCTCAACCTTCCCCCCTCGCGTCCTCCTCCCAAAGGGCACTCCGGCCCTCCTCAACCTTCCCCCCTCGCGTCCTCCTCCCAGGGCCATCCGGCCCTCCTCAACCTTCCCCCCTCGCTCCTCCCCCAAGGGCCATCCGGCCCTCCTCAACCGCCTCTTCCCCCCCTCGGTCCTCCTCCCAAAGGGCCATCCGGCCCTCCTCAACCTTTCCCCCTCGCGTCCTCCTCCCAAGGGCCATCCGGCCCCTCCTCAACCTTCCCCCTCGCGTCCTCCTCCCAAGGGCCATCCGGCACCTCCTCAACCTTCCCCCCTCGCGTCCTCCTCCAAGGGCCATCCGGCCCTCCTCAACCTTCCCCCCTCGCGTCCTCCTCCCAAGGGCCATCCGGCCCTCCTCAACCTTCCCCCCTCGCGTCCTCCTCCCAAGGGCCATCCGGCCCTCCTCAACCTTCCCCCCTCGCTGTCCTCCTCCCAAGGGCCATCCGGCCCTCCCTCAACCTTCCCCCCTCGCGTCCTCCTCCCAAGGGCCATCCGGCCCTCCTCCCCCTTCCCCCCTCGCGTCCTCCTCCCAGGCCATCCGGCCCTCCTCCCCCTTCCCCCTCGCGTCCTCCTCCCAAGGGCCATCCGGCCCTCCTCCCCCCTTCCCCCCTCGCGTCCTCCTCCAAGGGCCATCCGGCCCTCTCTCCCCCTTCCCCCCCTCGCGTCTCCTCCCAAGGGCCATCCGGCCCTCCTCCCCCTTCCCCCCTCGCGTCCTCCTCCCAAGGGCCATCCGGCCCTCCTCTCCCCTTCCCCCCTCGCGTCCTCCTCCCAGGGCCATCCGGCCCTCATCACCCTTCCCCCCTCGCGTCCTCCTCCAAAGGGCCATCCGGCCCTCCTCCCCCTTCCCCCCTCGCGTCCTCCTCCCAATGGCCATCCCGCCGGCCCTCCTCCCCTTCCCACCTTCCCCCCTCGCGTCCCTCCTCCAAGGGCCATCCGGGCCCCTCCTCCCCCTTCCCCCCTCGCGTCCTCCTCCCAAGGGCCATCCGGCCCTCCTCCCCCTTCCCCCCTCGCGTCCTCCTCCCAAGGGCCATCCGGCCCTCCTCCCCCTTCCCCCCTCGCGTCCTCCTCCCAAGGGCCATCCGGCCCTCCTCCCCCTTCCCCCCTCGCGTCCTCCTCCCAAGGGCCATCCGGCCCTCCTCCCCCTTCCCCCCTCGCGTCCTCCTCCCAAGGGCCATCCGGCCCTCCTCCCCCTTCCCCCCTCCGCGTCCTCCTCCCAAGGGCCATCCCGGCCCTCCTCCCCCTTCCCCCTCGCGTCCTCCTCCCAAGGGCCATCCGGCCCTCCTCCCCCTTCCCCCCTCGCGTCCTCCTCCCAAGGCCATCCGCCCTCCTCCCCTTCCCCCTCGCGTCCTCCTCCCAAGGGCCATCCGGCCCTCCTCCCCTTCCCCCCTCGCGTCCTCCTCCCAAGGGCCATCCGGCCCTCCTCACCCATTCCCCCCTCGCGTCCTCCTCCAAGGGCCATCCGGCCCCTCCTCCCCCTTCCCCCCTCGCGTCCTCCTCCCAAGGGCCATCCGGCCCTCCTCCCCCTTCCCCCCTCGCGTCCTCCTCCCAAGGGCCATCCGGCCCTCCTCAACCTTCCCCCCTCGCGTCCTCCTCCCAAGGGCCATCCGGCCCTCCTCCCCTTCCCCCCTCGCGTCCTCCTCCCAAGGGCCATCCGGCCCTCCTCAACCTTCCCCCCTCGCGTCCTCCTCCCAAGGGCCATCCGGCCCTCCTCAACCTTCCCCCCTCGCGTCCTCCTCCCAAGGGCCATCCGGCCCTCCTCCCCTTCCCCCCTCGCGTCCTCCTCCCAAGGGCCATCCGGCCCTCCTCAACCTTCCCCCCTCGCGTCCTCCTCCCAAGGGCCATCCGGCCCTCCTCAACCTTCCCCCCTCGCGTCCTCCTCCCAAGGGCCATCCGGCCCTCCTCCCCTTCCCCCCTCGCGTCCTCCTCCCAAGGGCCATCCGGCCCTCCTCCCCCTTCCCCCCTCGCGTCCTCCTCCCAAGGGCCATCCGGCCTCCTCCCCCTTCCCCCCTCGCGTCCTCCTCCCAAGGGCCATCCGGCCCTCCTCCCCTTCCCCCTCGCGTCCTCCTCCCAAGGGCCATCCGGCCCTCCTCAACCTTCCCCCCTCGCGTCCTCCTCCCAAGGGCCATCCGGCCCTCCTCCCCTTCCCCCCTCGCGTCCTCCTCCCAAGGGCCATCCGGCCCTCCTCCCCCTTCCCCCCTCGCGTCCTCCTCCCAAGGGCCATCCGGCCCTCCTCCCCCTTCCCCCCTCGCGTCCTCCTCCCAAGGGCCATCCGGCCCTCCTCCCCTTCCCCCCTCGCGTCCTCCTCCCAAGGGCCATCCGGCCCTCCTCCCCTTCCCCCTCGCGTCCTCCTCCCAAGGGCCATCCGGCCCTCCTCCCCCTTCCCCCCTCGCGTCCTCCTCCCAAGGGCCATCCGGCCCTCCTCACCCTTCCCCCCTCGCGTCCTCCTCCCAAGGGCCATCCGGCCCTCCTCAACCTTCCCCCCTCGCGTCCTCCTCCCAAGGGCCATCCGGCCCTCCTCAACCCTTCCCCCCTCGCGTCCTCCTCCCAAGGGCCATCCGGCCCTCCTCCCCCTTCCCCCCTCGCGTCCTCCTCCCAAGGGCCATCCGGCCCTCCTCCCCCTTCCCCCCTCGCGTCCTCCTCCCAAGGGCCATCCGGCCCTCCTCAACCTTCCCCCCTCGCGTCCTCCTCCCAAGGGCCATCCGGCCCTCCTCCCCCTTCCCCCCTCGCGTCCTCCTCCCAAGGGCCATCCGGCCCTCCTCAACCTTCCCCCCTCGCGTCCTCCTCCCAAGGGCCATCCGGCCCTCCTCCCCTTCCCCCCTCGCGTCCTCCTCCCAAGGGCCATCCGGCCCTCCTCAACCTTCCCCCCTCGCGTCCTCCTCCCAAGGGCCATCCGGCCCTCCTCAACCTTCCCCCCTCGCGTCCTCCTCCCAAGGGCCATCCGGCCCTCCTCAACCTTCCCCCCTCGCGTCCTCCTCCCAAGGGCCATCCGGCCCTCCTCCCCCTTCCCCCCTCGCGTCCTCCTCCCAAGGGCCATCCGGCCCTCCTCAACCTTCCCCCCTCGCGTCCTCCTCCCAAGGGCCATCCGGCCCTCCTCCCCCTTCCCCCCTCGCGTCCTCCTCCCAAGGGCCATCCGGCCCTCCTCCCAAGGGCCATCCGGCCCTCCTCAACCTTCCCCCCTCGCGTCCTCCTCCCAAGGGCCATCCGGCCCTCCTCCCCCTTCCCCCCTCGCGTCCTCCTCCCAAGGGCCATCCGGCCCTCCTCCCCCTTCCCCCCTCGCGTCCTCCTCCCAAGGGCCATCCGGCCCTCCTCCCCTTCCCCCCTCGCGTCCTCCTCCCAAGGGCCATCCGGCCCTCCTCCCTTCCCCCCTCGCGTCCTCCTCCCAAGGGCCATCCGGCCCTCCTCCCCCTTCCCCCCTCGCGTCCTCCTCCCAAGGGCCATCCGGCCCTCCTCCCCCTTCCCCCCTCGCGTCCTCCTCCCAAGGGCCATCCGGCCCTCCTCAACCTTCCCCCTCGCGTCCTCCTCCCAAGGGCCAATCCGGCCCTCCTCAACCTTCCCCCCTCGCGTCCTCCTCCCAAGGGCCATCCGGCCCTCCTCAACCTTCCCCCCTCGCGTCCTCCTCCCAAGGGCCATCCGGCCCTCCTCAACCTTCCCCCCTCGCGTCCTCCTCCCAAGGGCCATCCGGCCCTCCTCACCCTTCCCCCCTCGCGTCCTCCTCCCAAGGGCCATCCGGCCCTCCTCAACCTTCCCCCTCTGCGTCCCTCCTCCCAAGGGCAATCCGGCCCTCCTCAACCTTCCCCCTCGCGTCCTCCTCCCAAGGGGCCATCCGGCCCTCCTCAACCCTTCCCCCCCGCGTCCTCCTCCCAAGGGCCATCCGGCCCTCCTCAACCTTCCCCCCTCGGTTCCTCTCCCAAGGGCCATCCGGCCCTCCTCCCCCTTACACCTCCTCGCGTCATCCCTCCCAAGGTCATCACGGCCCTCCTCCCCCCCCTTCCACCATCGCGGTCCTCCTCCCAAGGGCCATACGGCACTCCTCCCCTTCCCCCCTCGCGTCCTCCTCCCAAGGGCCATCCGGCCCTCCTCCCCTTCCCCCCTCGCGTCCTCCTCCCAAGGGCCATCCGGCCCTCCTCCCCTTCCCCCCTCGCGTCCTCCTCCCAAGGGCCATCCGGCCCTCCTCCCCCTTCCCCCCTCGCGTCCTCCTCCCAAGGGCCATCCGGCCCTCCTCCCCCTTCCCCCCTCGCGTCCTCCTCCCAAGGGCCATCCGGCCCTCCTCCCCTTCCCCCCTCGCGTCCTCCTCCCAAGGGCCATCCGGCCCTCCTCCCCTTTCCCCCCTCGCGTCCTCCTCCCAAGGGCCATCCGGCCCTCCTCCCCTTCCCCCCTCGCGTCCTCCTCCCAAGGGCCATCCGGCCCTCCTCCTCCCTTCCCCCCTCGCGTCCTCCTCCCAAGGGCCATCCGGCCCTCCTCCCCCTTCCCCCCTCGCGTCCTCCTCCCAAGGGCCATCCGGCCCTCCTCCCCCTTCCCCCCTCGCGTCCTCCTCCCAAGGGCCATCCGGCCCTCCTCAACCTTCCCCCCTCGCGTCCTCCTCCCAAGGGCCATCCGGCCCTCCTCCCCCTTCCCCCCTCGCGTCCTCCTCCCAAGGGCCATCCGGCCCTCCTCCCCCTTCCCCCCTCGCGTCCTCCTCCCAAGGGCCATCCGGCCCTCCTCCCCCTTCCCCCCTCGCGTCCTCCTCCCAAGGGCCATCCGGCCCTCCTCCCCCTTCCCCCCTCGCGTCCTCCTCCCAAGGGCCATCCGGCCCTCCTCCCCTTCCCCCCTCGCGTCCTCCTCCCAAGGGCCATCCGGCCCTCCTCAACCTTCCCCCCTCGCGTCCTCCTCCCAAGGGCCATCCGGCCCTCCTCAACCTTCCCCCCTCGCGTCCTCCTCCCAAGGGCCATCCGGCCCTCCTCAACCTTCCCCCCTCGCGTCCTCCTCCCAAGGGCCATCCGGCCCTCCTCCTCCCTTCCCCCCTCGCGTCCTCCTCCCAAGGGCCATCCGGCCCTCCTCCCCTTCCCCCCTCGCGTCCTCCTCCCAAGGGCCATCCGGCCCTCCTCCCCCTTCCCCCCTCGCGTCCTCCTCCCAAGGGCCATCCGGCCCTCCTCCCCCTTCCCCCCTCGCGTCCTCCTCCCAAGGGCCATCCGGCCCTCCTCCCCCTTCCCCCCTCGCGTCCTCCTCCCAAGGGCCATCCGGCCCTCCTCCCCCTTCCCCCCTCGCGTCCTCCTCCCAAGGGCCATCCGGCCCTCCTCCCCTTCCCCCCTCGCGTCCTCCTCCCAAGGGCCATCCGGCCCTCCTCAACCTTCCCCCCTCGCGTCCTCCTCCCAAGGGCCATCCGGCCCTCCTCCCCTTCCCCCCTCGCGTCCTCCTCCCAAGGGCCATCCGGCCCTCCTCAACCTTCCCCCCTCGCGTCCTCCTCCCAAGGGCCATCCGGCCCTCCTCAACCTTCCCCCTCGCGTCCTCCTCCCAAGGGCCATCCGGCCCTCCTCCCCTTCCCCCCTCGCGTCCTCCTCCCAAGGGCCATCCGGCCCTCCTCAACCTTCCCCCCTCGCGTCCTCCTCCCAAGGGCCATCCGGCCCTCCTCCCCCTTCCCCCCTCGCGTCCTCCTCCCAAGGGCCATCCGGCCCTCCTCAACCTTCCCCCCTCGCGTCCTCCTCCCAAGGGCCATCCGGCCCTCCTCCCCCTTCCCCCCTCGCGTCCTCCTCCCAAGGGCCATCCGGCCCTCCTCAACCCCCCTCCCCCCTCGCGTCCTCCTCCCAAGGGCCATCCGGCCCTCCTCAACCTTCCCCCCTCGCGTCCTCCTCCCAAGGGCCATCCGGCCCTCCTCCCCTTCCCCCCTCGCGTCCTCCTCCCAAGGGCCATCCGGCCCTCCTCCCCCTTCCCCCCTCGCGTCCTCCTCCCAAGGGCCATCCGGCCCTCCTCAACCTTCCCCCCTCGCGTCCTCCTCCCAAGGGCCATCCGGCCCTCCTCCCCTTCCCCCCTCGCGTCCTCCTCCCAAGGGCCATCCGGCCCTCCTCCCCCTTCCCCCCTCGCGTCCTCCTCCCAAGGGCCATCCGGCCCTCCTCCCCCTTCCCCCCTCGCGTCCTCCTCCCAAGGGCCATCCGGCCCTCCTCCCCTTCCCCCCTCGCGTCCTCCTCCCAAGGGCCATCCGGCCCTCCTCCCCCTTCCCCCCTCGCGTCCTCCTCCCAAGGGCCATCCGGCCCTCCTCCCCCTTCCCCCCTCGCGTCCTCCTCCCAAGGGCCATCCGGCCCTCCTCCCCCTTCCCCCCTCGCGTCCTCCTCCCAAGGGCCATCCGGCCCTCCTCCCCCTTCCCCCCTCGCGTCCTCCTCCCAAGGGCCATCCGGCCCTCCTCCCCCTTCCCCCCTCGCGTCCTCCTCCCAAGGGCCATCCGGCCCTCCTCCCCCTTCCCCCCTCGCGTCCTCCTCCCAAGGGCCATCCGGCCCTCCTCCCCCTTCCCCCCTCGCGTCCTCCTCCCAAGGGCCATCCGGCCCTCCTCCCCCTTCCCCCCTCGCGTCCTCCTCCCAAGGGCCATCCGGCCCTCCTCCCCCTTCCCCCCTCGCGTCCTCCTCCCAAGGGCCATCCGGCCCTCCTCCCCCTTCCCCCCTCGCGTCCTCCTCCCAAGGGCCATCCGGCCCTCCTCCCCCTTCCCCCCTCGCGTCCTCCTCCCAAGGGCCATCCGGCCCTCCTCCCCCTTCCCCCCTCGCGTCCTCCTCCCAAGGGCCATCCGGCCCTCCTCCCCCTTCCCCCCTCGCGTCCTCCTCCCAAGGGCCATCCGGCCCTCCTCCCCCTTCCCCCCTCGCGTCCTCCTCCCAAGGGCCATCCGGCCCTCCTCCCCCTTCCCCCCTCGCGTCCTCCTCCCAAGGGCCATCCGGCCCTCCTCCCCCTTCCCCCCTCGCGTCCTCCTCCCAAGGGCCATCCGGCCCTCCTCCCCCTTCCCCCCTCGCGTCCTCCTCCCAAGGGCCATCCGGCCCTCCTCCCCCTTCCCCCCTCGCGTCCTCCTCCCAAGGGCCATCCGGCCCTCCTCCCCCTTCCCCCCTCGCGTCCTCCTCCCAAGGGCCATCCGGCCCTCCTCCCCCTTCCCCCCTCGCGTCCTCCTCCCAAGGGCCATCCGGCCCTCCTCCCCCTTCCCCCCTCGCGTCCTCCTCCCAAGGGCCATCCGGCCCTCCTCCCCCTTCCCCCCTCGCGTCCTCCTCCCAAGGGCCATCCGGCCCTCCTCCCCCTTCCCCCCTCGCGTCCTCCTCCCAAGGGCCATCCGGCCCTCCTCCCCCTTCCCCCCTCGCGTCCTCCTCCCAAGGGCCATCCGGCCCTCCTCCCCCTTCCCCCCTCGCGTCCTCCTCCCAAGGGCCATCCGGCCCTCCTCCCCCTTCCCCCCTCGCGTCCTCCTCCCAAGGGCCATCCGGCCCTCCTCCCCCTTCCCCCCTCGCGTCCTCCTCCCAAGGGCCATCCGGCCCTCCTCCCCCTTCCCCCCTCGCGTCCTCCTCCCAAGGGCCATCCGGCCCTCCTCCCCCTTCCCCCCTCGCGTCCTCCTCCCAAGGGCCATCCGGCCCTCCTCCCCCTTCCCCCCTCGCGTCCTCCTCCCAAGGGCCATCCGGCCCTCCTCCCCCTTCCCCCCTCGCGTCCTCCTCCCAAGGGCCATCCGGCCCTCCTCCCCCTTCCCCCCTCGCGTCCTCCTCCCAAGGGCCATCCGGCCCTCCTCCCCCTTCCCCCCTCGCGTCCTCCTCCCAAGGGCCATCCGGCCCTCCTCCCCCTTCCCCCTCGCGTCCTCCTCCCAAGGGCCATCCGGCCCTCCTCCCCCTTCCCCCCTCGCGTCCTCCTCCCAAGGGCCATCCGGCCCTCCTCCCCCTTCCCCCCTCGCGTCCTCCTCCCAAGGGCCATCCGGCCCTCCTCCCCCTTCCCCCCTCGCGTCCTCCTCCCAAGGGCCATCCGGCCCTCCTCCCCCTTCCCCCCTCGCGTCCTCCTCCCAAGGGCCATCCGGCCCTCCTCCCCCTTCCCCCCTCGCGTCCTCCTCCCAAGGGCCATCCGGCCCTCCTCCCCCTTCCCCCCTCGCGTCCTCCTCCCAAGGGCCATCCGGCCCTCCTCCCCCTTCCCCCCTCGCGTCCTCCTCCCAAGGGCCATCCGGCCCTCCTCCCCCTTCCCCCCTCGCGTCCTCCTCCCAAGGGCCATCCGGCCCTCCTCCCCCTTCCCCCCTCGCGTCCTCCTCCCAAGGGCCATCCGGCCCTCCTCCCCCTTCCCCCCTCGCGTCCTCCTCCCAAGGGCCATCCGGCCCTCCTCCCCCTTCCCCCCTCGCGTCCTCCTCCCAAGGGCCATCCGGCCCTCCTCCCCCTTCCCCCCTCGCGTCCTCCTCCCAAGGGCCATCCGGCCCTCCTCCCCCTTCCCCCCTCGCGTCCTCCTCCCAAGGGCCATCCGGCCCTCCTCCCCCTTCCCCCCTCGCGTCCTCCTCCCAAGGGCCATCCGGCCCTCCTCCCCCTTCCCCCCTCGCGTCCTCCTCCCAAGGGCCATCCGGCCCTCCTCCCCCTTCCCCCCTCGCGTCCTCCTCCCAAGGGCCATCCGGCCCTCCTCCCCTTCCCCCCTCGCGTCCTCCTCCCAAGGGCCATCCGGCCCTCCTCCCCCTTCCCCCCTCGCGTCCTCCTCCCAAGGGCCATCCGGCCCTCCTCCCCCTTCCCCCCTCGCGTCCTCCTCCCAAGGGCCATCCGGCCCTCCTCCCCCTTCCCCCCTCGCGTCCTCCTCCCAAGGGCCATCCGGCCCTCCTCCCCCTTCCCCCCTCGCGTCCTCCTCCCAAGGGCCATCCGGCCCTCCTCCCCCTTCCCCCCTCGCGTCCTCCTCCCAAGGGCCATCCGGCCCTCCTCCCCCTTCCCCCCTCGCGTCCTCCTCCCAAGGGCCATCCGGCCCTCCTCCCCCTTCCCCCCTCGCGTCCTCCTCCCAAGGGCCATCCGGCCCTCCTCCCCCTTCCCCCCTCGCGTCCTCCTCCCAAGGGCCATCCGGCCCCCCTCGCCCATCCGGCCCTCCTCCCCCTTCCCCCCTCGCGTCCTCCTCCCAAGGGCCATCCGGCCTCTCCCCCTTCCCCCTCGGCTTCCTTTCCTCCACCAAGGGCCATCCGGCCCTCCTCCCCCTTCCCCCTCGCGCCTCCTCCCAAGGGCCATCTCCCTCCTCCCCCTTCCCCCCTCGCCGTCCTCCTCCCAAGGCCATCCGGCCCTCCTCCCCCTTCCCCCCTCGCGTCACCTCCTCCCAAGGCCATCCGGCCCTCTACACCTATCCCCCTCGCGTTCCTCCTCCCAAGGCCATCCGGCCCTCCTCCCTTCCACCTCTCGGTCCTCCTCCCAAGGGCCATCCGGCCTCCTCCCCCTTCCCCTCGCGTCTTCCTCCCAAGGGCCATCCGGCCCTCCTCCCCCTTACCCCCCTCGCCGGCATACTCCCAAGGGCCATTCCGGGCCTCCTCCCCCTTCCCCCCTCGCGTCCTCCTCCCAAGGCCCATCCGGCCCTCCTCCCCTTTTTTTTATCCCCCCTCGCGTCCTCCTCCCAAGGGCCATCCGGCCCTCCTCCCCCTTCCCCCCCCTCGCGTCCTCCTCCCAAGGGCCATCCGGCCCTCCTCCCCCTTCCCCCCTCGCGTCCTCCTCCCAAGGGCCATCCGGCCCCTTCTCCCCCTTCCCCCTCGCTGCCGCTGCCGTCTCCCTTTGCCGCCGCAGCCCGCCCGCTGCAGCTGCCGTCTCCCTTCGCCGCCGCAGCCCGCACGCTGCAGCCGCCGTCATCCGCCGCAGCCCCTCCTTCGGCTGGCGTGCCGCATCATCCGCCGCAGCCCCTCCTTCGGCTGGCGTGCCACATCATCCGCCGCAGCCCCTCCTTTGGCTGGCGTGCCGCATCATCCGCCGCAGCCCCTCCTTGGGCTGGCGTGCCGCATCATCCGCCGCAGCCCCTCCTTCGGCTGGCGTGCCGCATCATCCGCCGCAGCCCCTCCTTCGGCTGGCTTGCCTCCCTCACCTGCAGCAGCCCCCCCTCCCGGCTGGCGTGCGACCTCACTGCCGCAGCACCTTGGGCTGGCTTGCCTCCTCACCTGCAGCAGCCCCCCCTCCCGGCTGGCGTCCGACCTCATCGCCGCAGCACCTTGGGCTGGCTTGCCTCCTCACCTGCAGCAGCCCCCCCTCCCGGCTGGCGTGCGACCTCACCGCCGCAGCACCTTGGGCTGGCTTCCCTCCTCACCTGCAGCAGCCCCCCCTCCCAGCTGGCGTGCGACCTCACCGCCGCCGCACCTTGGGCTGGCTTGCCTCCTCACCTGCAGCAGCCCCCCCTTGGGCTGGCTTGCCTCCTCACCTGCAGCAGCCCCCCCTCCCGGCTGGCGTGCGACCTTGTCAACGGGAGTTGGGTATTGGCCCCGTCCTCGCTTGGACGGAGCCGACTTCGTGATCGGGTGTGAGGGGAGCAGCCGACCTTCAGCAGTGGGTGAACTGGTCGATGAGGAGGTCGACCTGCACGGGGGACCACTGCACGGGCGCCGACTTCAGGGTGGCGCCGACTTCAGGGAGGTCGACTTGGGAGTCGACCTCCGGAGGACGCCAACTTGGCGTAGCCGACTTCGGCGGTCGGCTAACGGACCGCAGGTCGACCTGTTAGTGGTCGACTGGACCTGGTGGTCGACGAAGGAGGGGCCGACGTCGACCTTGGCGCAGGACGCCGAGCAGTCGGGCGTCGAGTAGCGGGGCGTCAACTTCGTGACGCTAGCTTTGGGTGGCCGACGTGGGTGGTCGGCCGACGACTGTGCTGGTCGATGAGGAGCAGGTCGACCAGGAGTACTGGTCGACATGGAGCTGGTCGACCAGAGGGGACGTCGACCTGGAGGAGGTCGACGTGGAGGTGGTCGTCGACTTGGGAGGTCGACGGGCACGAACGGGAGCTGCTGGTCGACGTGGTTGCCTGATCGACCACGTTATCTGGGTGACGAAGTGCTGCGGAGGAGTGCGACGGTCGCCGAGGCGAAGTTGGCGAGCCCGACCTCGGTGGTGGTATCCCGAGGTCGTCGTGGCGGATCAGAGGCAGTCGTCAGCTCGAGGTTGACGTGGTGTGTGCGCTGTGCAGGTGACGAGACTCTTCACGCCAATCATCTGCGCACAACTGCGAAGCAGGGTGCACTGCTGTCCTGCGTAGGCAACGCTGTCACGCCGTCAACCTGCGACGTTGGCACGGCGTCGACCTTGCCCTGCTGGAGCGCGGTCGACCAAGTCGTGCTGGAACGCGGTCGACCAAGCTGCGCTGGCAGTTGGCCAACCTGAATGCTTGCTCTGATGTAGTCTTGCTATGCCAACTTCATTGTATCATCATTGTTGTTATGTTTTCCTAGTGAAACTCTTGCAAATTCTCCCCGTGAACTAGCAAGGAGCGTGAACACAAGGAAACGACTAAGTGAACGAACGCAGAGATCACACGAGCACACGTGCCTAGCCCGCAGCCTAGCTCCCGTTGCTGCAGTTATCTCCGCATGGTGCGGTGAGCGTGGACGACACCGCGACGTAGTTCAGTCTAGCCGACTTAGCACATACCGATCGTGTTCGTAGACCGGCAGCCGTGCAGTCACTAGCGTGCGCGTAGGCGACGCCGAGGTGATGGACACCCTGGAGGGACGGCTGGAGGATGCGAGGAGACGCCATGAGGCCCAGGAGTATGGGGCGATACCCTGGGCAGTCGTCGAAGCCGGACTCCGCTCCGTGTGGGCGGCGGAGCATCCCCCTTCTCGACCTGCCTCTCCTCGACCGGTGAACAACGACGGCGGCGTCGATGTGGGCATCAACGCCAGTGGAGGTCAGGTCGGCAGCAGTGTGGGAGGCACGTCGAGGTAACGAGGTGTGATACACGTCGGTGAAGCCGGCGGCGTTCAGGCGCGAGGGATGCAGTCGTCGGCGGCTGCAGGTTCCTCACATGGTGACGCCGGTGGGTGTCGAAATGGGCTGTCGCCGATGTCGGCGTCCCAGGTGACGGCAGGTGGGATTGCACCGAGCTACGGCTACTTCAAGTTTACGCCGGACAGGATCTCGGTCACCCCTCCGCTGGTCGGTCGACCCGACATTCTCACCTGGAAGGAAGCCATCGAGCCCCAGCTGGAGATGGCCGGGCTGATCGGCTTCGCCCGAGGGACCGTGGCGACGCCGGGGGAGCACCACCCCGACCTGCGTGCGGAGTTTCGTGCCGTGCAGCTGTTGACCTTCACGGTCATCTCGCGGTGCTGCTCGCCGGGCGTGCAGATCGCCTTGAAATGGTGCCGGGAGTACATCGACGCCGGCCACAGGGCGTGGCACTTTATTGAGTCGACGTACCAGGTCACCGACGACCTGTTCATCGCCCAGCTGGAGGGACAGCTGACGCACCTGCGTATGGGTGACGAGGAGACAGCGACTGACTACTGCAACCGAGCCCGGCGAATTCTCGCCACTATCAGGATGGCCGGCGCGCAGTACTCCACTGCGTCGTAGATCACCCATGTCATGCAGGGTCTCTCTAGCAGCTACAACCTGCTGAAGCGGCTGTCTATGGCGCCGAGCACAAGGGCGCCGCTCAACGAGGACAACCTGACCTCATATATCCTGCAGGACGAGGCGATCCAGGAGGCTGAGCGGTCGTAGGAGCTCTTGGCGCAGGCGAACTTGGTCACCTCAGCGAAGCAAGGAGGCCGACCGGGGCAGCGCGGGCAGTCTGGCGGTGGTGGTAGCAGTGGCTGGAAGCCGGCCAAGGAGGTTGACAAGAAGAAGTCGACCAAGGACAGCAGTCGGGGCGGAGGAGGCCCACGTCGGGAATGCTGGCTGTGCGGCGACCCCGACCATCTATCCTTCGAGTGTCCCAACCGCAGTGACTCCGACGACGACGATGCTAAGGGAGGTCGTGGGAGGTCTGGCAACCTTCGTCCTCGTCGTGAAAGAAACCAGCCGCGCAAGGAGAAGCAGTCGACCAAGACATCGACTTCGGCGAAGGACGCCGACTCCCCTGCTGGCGGCAAGGGGCGAGACGACAAGACGGCGTCGTGCGCGCTGGTCGGCGTCGTGGAGCCGACCATCTCTCTGGCGCCGGAGGTCGGAGAGGACTTCCAGGCGGTGGCGGCAGCTGTGCAGGCGAACCCGGCAGTGGTCCTGCTCGACAGCGGTTGCTCCCACCACCTGATGGGGACGAAGGAAGCCTTCGTCAACCTGCAGCCGAGCGGCGCCATCAGGCATGTGCGCGGCTTCAATGGGGCGCTGCAGGATGTCCAGGGCTGCGGCACCGTCGCTCTGCAAGGAGAGGCCGGGACGGAGGTGCTCATCCCTGACGTGTTGTACGTCCCGGGTGTGCGAGCCAACCTGCTGTCAGCCGGCCAGCTGAAGGAGCATGGCGTGAAGCTGCAGGAGGACGGAGACGGCATGCTGCTCGTCTCGGCAGCAGGGGAGGTGCTCGGGCGTGCATCGTACTCTGGGCGAGTCCTCTGCACCGACCTGCGTCCCTGTGCGACGAGGTTGACGCCGCCCACGACGGAGGTTGTGGCTCTGCGGGCGATCGTCTCGAAGACTAAGTCGACGCCGGACCGGATGCATGCGCGGCTTGCACATGTCGGCATGGACACCATACGGAGCTCAGCGAAGAACGAGGTTGCTATTGGGCTGGACCTCAAATCGGCGACGGACGCCGACTCCCCGTGTGTCTCGTGCGTCGGCGGGAAACTGGCGCGGCACACCTTCCCCGACCACGGCTCCGACGCCGACGACGTGCTAGCCGTCGTGCACATTGACCTGTGCGGGCCGTTTCGTGTGGCTGCCAAGGATGGCAGCCTGTACTTCTTGCTGCTGAAGGACCGCAAGACCCGCTACGTGTGGGTGAAGCCGGTCGCCAAGAAGTCAGATGCGTTGCAGGCCTTCGTGCAGTGGCTGGCGGTGGCTGAGCGGCAGACGAAGAAGTCTGTGTTGATGCTGCGCTCGGACCGGGGAGGGGAGTTCCTCGGGAAGCAGTTCACCGACTTTGTGAACGGCAAGGGGATCGTTCACGACCTGACCTGCCCATACACCCCGCAGTAGAACGGCATGGCGGAGCGGGAGATGAGGACGGTGGTGGAGTCGGTGCGGACAATGCTGCTGCACATGGGTGTGCAGCACCACTGGTGGCACCTCGCTCTTCGGCAGGCCGTCTGGGTCCGCAACTGCCTTGAGAGGTCGACGCTGCCACCGGGGACGACGCCGTACCAGCTGCTGACCGGGAGGAAGCCCGACTTGTCGCTAGCGCGGGTGTGGGGCTGCATGGCGCAGTTCCTTGTCCCTAAGCAGCAGCGTGGTGGAAAGCTGAAGCCGAAGGCCAGGTGGGGCCTGCACCTTGGCATGTCAGAGGCGAGCAAGGGCTGGGAGCTCCTCGACGTCGACACCGACCGAGTGGTCACCACGTCGGACGTGGTGTTCTACGAGGAGATGTCGCTGGCTGAGTGGAAAACGGAGCATGGGCCGGTGTCCGGCCGGTCGCCGTCCACCCCGCCCTCTGACACCTCGTCGCCGACGCTGCCGCTGCTAGCCGAGGTTGGTGAGCTTGCTACTGAGGACGTTGAGGGCGTCCACACCCCTCCACATCCTCTGACCCCTGCCCCTCCCCTCGTGGCCGACCTGCGTGGACTGACCTCGGTGTCGGCCTCCGGCAATGAGGGGAGTCGTGGGACGCCGCCTTCAGCGCCGGCCAAGTGCATCGCCGGTGGCCGACATGACGAGCGGCGAGTCGACGTGGGATTGCAATCGACAGGGGAGAAACAGGTCGGGGAGCAGGCTGCCGTGAAGCCGACCACGAAGCAGTCGGCGACCGGGCTGTCGGCAAGGGAGCCGACCACAGGGGAGAAGTCGGCTGGGAAGCCGACCACAGTGGAGCAGTCGGTTGGAACGCCGGCTGCGGAACAGCAGGACGCCGAGGGCAGCGACGACAGCGACAATGGAGGGGATGCCGAGGAGGTCCAGCAGGGACCACGGCGTTCAGGCCGACTTCGGAGGCCGCCTGACTTCTTCGTCCCCGCTGCCTTCACCACGGTGTATGACATGGACGGTGATGAGGACCTGTTGTACGACGACGCCGAGGATGATGAGGAGTTTCCGGAGCTCGACCCCGACATGCTAGCCGACCCCGAGAACCGTTGGGACATCTCGACGATGACGGTGAAGGAGGCGTTGGCGAGCTGGAAGGGCCCGGCGGTGAAGGCCGCCATGGAGGAGGAGATTCGCAGCCTCATCAACATGGGCACTTGGGAGCTGGTCGAACGCCTGCCGGGGGTGAACGTCATGAAGAACCGGTGGGTGTTGACGACGAAGTACCACATCGACGACACCATCGAGCGAGAGAAGGCGAGGCTGGTCGTGAAGGGCTTCACACAGGTGTACGGCGCCGACTACGACGAGACGTTCGCGCCGGTGAGCAGCTACCTCACGTTGAGGATCTTCCTCAGCATCGTCGCTGTCCTCAACCTCAACCTGATGCAGCTCGACATGAAGAACGCCTTCTTGCAGAGCAAACTCGATCGGGTACTGTACATGTCCCAGCTGGACTACTTCAACGATGGAACCAGCCGGGTGTGTAAGCTGCTGAAGAGCCTGTACGGGCTGAAGCACTCGCCGCTGTTGTGGTACTTGGCACTCAACGATGTGCTGGTCGGCGCCAGATGGAAGAAGATCCAGGTCAACGAGGCTCTCTACTTCAAGGTTGGCGAGGGTGGAGTGGCCTGCTGGGTGCTGGTCTACGTTGAGGACCTGCTCGCCGCCAGCAGCAGCGCCGCGATGCTGAAGGAGCTGAAGGAGCTGCTGGAAGCTGCCTTCAAGTTGCGCGAGATCTCGCCGGTGCAGAAGTACCTCGGGCTGGAGATCGTGCGCGACAGGTCGGCGGGGAAGCTGTGGCTGCACCAGCAGGGCTACGCCGACAAGCTGCGTAGGCGCTTCCTCGACGAGGAGCAGACCGGGCGCACCCCGAAGACGCCGGTCTCGGTCAGTGCCTACGCCGAGCTCACCTTCGATGACGAGGAGGCGCAGGAACGGCAGGAGGAGGAGTACCGGCAGAAGGTCCGCTCGCTGCAGTTCGCGGCGACGACGACGAGGCCGGACGTCGCCTTCGCCTGCAGCAAGCTGGGGAGCGGCCTCACGGTGAGGAGCGACCAGCACTGGCGGCAGGTCGACCGCTGCCTCGCCTACCTCGCCAACACACGTGACACCGCCCTGGAGTTCGGCGGTGGACCTGAGTCGCTGGAGCTGGTCGGCTACGTGGACGCCGACGATGCCGGTGACAAGCAGAACAGGACTAGCACGGGCGGCTACGTGTTCGTCTACGGAGGGGCTGCAGTCTCCTGGTTGAGCCAGCGCATCAAGTGCGCGACGCTGTCGTCGACCGAGTCGGAGTACGTGGCGGCCACT